CCAATTATTATTATAGATTATTTTGTGTAAAGCAAAGTTATTACATATTTAAAACAAAATTCTACACGATATACACTTTTCTTTAAATAATTCACGATTTTATTTGAAGGGTTTATGGGGGCCGTACAAGCGGTCAAATTTTTATGATAGATTTATATCAGTTAGATTAATAGTAACTAAACTTGTAGAAGAGTTGCCGAAGTTCTAATGTGAAGTTTTGACTAGTGAACTTGATTCATTTTACAAATGAAACAGTTACCACCTATGGTATCGAGTATCTTGATTTGTATCATTAGACTAAGACTTATTGAGTCATCACAAGATCTTTGTTTCGTGGGTTAAATCACTGACATGTTCGCATGAATGCAACGGTGAATAAAACGAATGTCTATAAATCTTAACTTCAAAGGTGATGATGTCGCACACATGATCAACAGGAGGCTGAACACTGAGCTAGCCAGAAATTATTCGGCGGATAAACTTTTAATTCTCTATAAAACAACATGTTCAATAACTCAATCAAAGATTGACAATCACCTCTTTCATGTTACCACCAACTGTATTTATAAATTAACGTGTACCAGCCAAGGCAGCTACATAGTTTGAACAGAAAGGAGGGCATATCTTAGATCTTTTTGAACATGTCTCAAAAAGTCTCAGAACGGGAGAAAGAAAGACTCTAAACAGTGTTATTTCATTACCAAACTTCTCCTTGATACAGGACATCAGGTAGATACCTTGTAATCCTTTAAGATGATTAGTAAGCAGCCAAACTTCTGTCTTCTGAAGTTTGCTGAACCTGTTACCATCAGGCGTCAAAAAACCTGACCTGTGTCCAAAAGTAGACGGTTATTAATCTTTCCTTGCCCTGATGACAAATACTCTTTCGTTGCACCTTAATTTTTTTTCTTTAAACTCTTTCTCACATTTATTAAATTTATTTCACTTATCTTCCAGATTAATAATCTAATTTCATCAACTGAGCTCTACTCATTATATCCCTATCAATATTTATTCATTATGTAATCACTTGTTTCTAGCTGTTTGAACTGTTGTCGCAATCAATGTTGCAGAATGTTCTTTCACATAAGGTATATGTTTACAGTATTCAGTCTATTAAATTTATTTACACCCATGCTACACTATACTAATATGTCTTCAATATAACTTCCAACTAAACCCTCTCATGTAAGTCATTTAAACCCATTATATAATTATGATTTTTAAATATCACAGGTTGTAAGCAGCTGACGAGAACCAAGCGAAATAAAAAATGAATTCATGCTATTCTGTTAGAATTTCTTTGTTCTTGCTCTTTTCAAAATGATAATCAGAAATTATGTGTATGCTGATTGATATTCAGATGGTGGAGAAGATTTGTAGCTCAGGTGGATTGTTTTGGATGGATTTCTGTTCTCTGAGCTGGATGGTTTAATCGTGGAACTTTCATCTGAAGTTTGTACTGATGATATTGTTCAGAAGAACGATGAAAGCTCCACGATCAAACCATCCAGCTCAGAGAACAAAACTCCATCAAAAAAAGCTGATTGATATAAAATAAATAGAGAGAGAGAGAGAGAGCGACAGAACCAACAATATATCCTGAATATAATTAATAAATAATAAAGGCATTCAGTAAAATGTTTTATACAATATGAGTTATGTTTTCTTTCATTCATACACACCTACCTAAATAGATTACAACGGAAAGTTTACATAATATTATTTTAATTAAATATACATATGTAAGTATGTGTTGAAGTGAAGCATAAAGAAGATTAGTACAGGAGATAGTAATTCACTATTAGATATAATCTAATAAAAATTGAAATCATCTACCTTATATAACATTCTCCGGTTAAAATAAAGAGGTCGAAATAGGAGCAGCTGTCTCAATATTATTAATAATTGTAATAATAATAATAATAATCTCAGGAATTTAATAACGAACCTAGTTCTTTATTATGATCTAAGCAGAATGATGATGATGATGATGATAATTGTAGTCGAATAGTAAAATAGCCTATGAATAATTAATTGAAATTCATCATTCAAGGCAACAATTCATTGTTTGGCCTGAAACTATACAATAAATATAATAATACTATAGTTTAATAGTAAATAAATGTTAATTCATATTGTCATATTTATATATTTATAGTTCATATTAGTTTATTTAATGATGAAAACTAAATGAAAGTAAGAAAATTAATTAATATGAAGATAGTTCCATTAAAGAACTGAGATAAATTAGGTGATGACTGATATCTATCTATCTATGTGTGACAGTGAATGGAGGTCATGTTTATTTGATTGACGTAAAAAGTACCATCTTCATTGATACTAAACTGTTAGGTTCTGATAAACATAATGAATGGTAACTTTGGGATCATTTTATAGACCAATACTAAACGTAAATTTTTATCGTATAATTGTTAAATAACTAAACTATTCAAATTCATATTCCTCTTATTATGAGATTTATTTCGACCTATGAACCATTATTATACGTTTTGCCATTCCTGAATTATGCCCTGTCTATTAGTCACTGCCTCACACATTCACAGCCACATTTGACCATAATTTGTACAAATGTGGTCTGTTTGATTAGTGTATAAACTCAGTATGTTTGGAATATAAGGATTCATATTGCAGAGGCTGAGATTGGTGTTCTGGACTTAACTGGTTGGGCTAGGCTGGAAGTAGGACCAATCAGGACCCTTTGCTGGTCGCACGTGTTTTACGCGTCCTTGGTTCGATCGATAATTCGCTGCTTCTGATTAGCGGCTTTGGGCTTTAACAATTAATTAATATAAAGACAGTTTCTTTAAAGAACTGAGATAAATTATGTGATGAATGATATCTATCTATCTATCTATCTATCTATCTATCTATCTATCTATCTATCTATCTATCTATCTATCTATCTATCTATCTATCTATCTATCTATCTATCTATCTATCTATCTATCTATCTATCTATCTATCTATCTATCTATCTATCTATCTATCTATCTATCTATCTATCTATCTATCTATCTATCTATCTATCTATCTATCTATCTATCTATCTATCTATCTATGTGTAACGGTGAATCGAGGTCACGTGTATTTGATTGACGTAAATAGTGACATCTTCTTTGATACTAAAGATTTATCATACTTTCTAGTTCTAACTAGTATAATATCCAATTAAAATAAAGCTCTCTTTTAAGTTCCTACAACTATCTAACATGAACAATGTTGTGCTGTGCTATGTATGTTCATTAATGCTAGTGATTACATTGAAAATTGATTGATTGAAATCTATCAACATTCAGGATACTAGATAAACGTAACAATGGATTGTATTGCAATGAACAAGAACACCAGTGTAAATGATCGAATTTATTTGAGCACAAAATTACAGAGCATCACTCCATAATCTGAAAACCACATAGTAAATCGTTAATTTGCAAAATATCAATCCATCGTCTCAAACTTAACTGTTCTTTTTGCAAATATCAACCGATTGTCTCAGATTTCATTGTTCATGCATTTTCATATCAATTGTGTTCCATCTACATTCTTTCCTTATTGATCTTCTACTGAAATACATTCTATGCTGACCACTGTTATATACTACATATATGAATATAAGTAACCCACACCACAGTATTACATAATAATCACTATGAGAAATAGTTGTTTTTTTTAAAATGGAAATTATATATATCAATAAAATCAAATCATCATCATTCATGTAGAGGATTGCAAAATAAGCCAACTGGTAATGCATGCATATATGTGGGACACTAAGTAATGTTGTCTCACATTGATAGATAAAGAGAAACTTGGATGATACTCTACAAGTTATGCATACATAACTAAGATATTTTTCCTATTGTATTTATTCCAAGGCACATAATTTTTTGAAAAAGAATAAGAGGATTTGTTACAAGAGAGTTTTTATTGTTATCTCATACAATTATTCTTCATTTTAATGGTTAAGTTCATGAGTCAGTTGAAGCTAGACCACCATGAAAAACGGTCCAGTGCTTCCAGGTTTTCCATGATGGTCTAGCTTCAATTGACTCATGAACTTAACCATTGAAATTACTATAATATTCACAAAACCCATCTGATAATAATATTTATCATAAAAGTATGCCAGACTCTTAACACAATTATGTCATTATTATTATTCTGTAGGAATTCATTAAAGATTTCATATTATTATTATTATGTTTCTTTGTTTGCAAGTGTTGATGTGTTCTGTTGTGTAGATTTATTTTCATTATCTTGTTTGAATTTAAGACAATGGAAACCAAATCATTATTAATTCACATTAATTTTTAGTACTTTTTTTATGTTGCTATTACACTTTTATTTGTTTAAATGATTAAGTTGTTATATGTTCAATTACTATTCAATAGTTCAATTACTTTAAAAGATTCTATTGTTTATTTATTCAATTAAAATAACCTATAACGTCGTTGAATAAAAAAAAAGAATTCAGCGAAGAAAATTTTCTTTTCGACGAAATCGTTTACTTAAGCTGTACATTCGTATATGTAGTTATATGGAAAATGTATATCTATAGGAGGATAAAAAATAATTGCATCACCAAAATGGATTCGAGGATAAATAACAAATGAGGTTACGTACTAATCAAGGGGTAAGGAAGAAAATCATTTATGGGTTAGTACGTAACCTCATTTGTTATTTATCCTCGAATCCATTTTGGTGATGCAGTATTTTTAATCATCCTATAGATATACATTTTCCATATAACTACATATACGAATGTACAGCTTAAGAAAATGGTTTACTTATTTATTTATTTATCCATTTATTTATCTTTTAATCATTTTGACAGTGAAATTCGTTTTAATTTACTAATTTATATTCAGATTATTTTAAAAAATAACTGAACAGATTTAAATGATTGTTTACAATCATCATCATCATCATCATCATCATCATCATCATCATCATCATCATCATCATCATCATCATCATCATCTCATCATCATCATCATCATCATCATCATCATCATCATCATCATCATCATCATCATCATCATCATCATCATCATCATCATCATCATCATCATCATCATCATCATCATCATCATCATCATCATCATCATCATCATCATCATCATCATCATCATCATCATCATCATCATCATCATCATCATCATCATCATCATCATCATCATCATCATCATCATCATCATCATCATCATCATCATCATCATCATCATCATCATCATCATCATCATCATCATCATCATCATCATCATCATCATCATCATCATCATCATCATCATCATCATCATCATCATCATCATCATCATCATCATCATCATCATCATCATCATCATCATCATCATCATCATCATCATCATCATCATCATCATCATCATCATCATCATCATCATCATCATCATCATCATCATCATCATCATCATCATCATCATCATCATCATCATCATCATCATCATCATCATCATCATCATCATCATCATCATCATCATCATCATCATCATCATCATCATCATCATCATCATCATCATCATCATCATCATCATCATCATCATCATCATCATCATCATCATCATCATCATCATCATCATCATCATCATCATCATCATCATCATCATCATCATCATCATCATCATCATCATCATCACCATTGCCCAACCCCACCCCTTATGTATCTATCTATTACAATTTTTTCGCTGTCTAATTTACTGAATTATCAGTCGGTATCTAAATAAATTAATGAATATGTACATTACTGTTACTATGTCTAATCAAATAATAATACATTTGGCTTTTTATTTTAACTCGAATTTTACTAGGTAAATTGTGGCTATGATTAGGGTTGTTTAAATTATCTAGTTCAATGGTTTTTGTAAATCTTAATAACTATATTTCTGAACGAAAATGACAATTATGTTATTTGTGGGGAGCATAGACTTTATGTATCTGTATGCTTGTTTCAATGTATCTTGGCGTGAGTCTATCTTCAATTCATTTAAGAGTGGTTCGAAATGCTATTAAGCCTAAAATGAATTGTTTTTGTTTCTACTGAAGAAACTTATATTGATGAGGTAAATTCATTGTTTTTTTTAAAGTTCAGACAAGGTAGAACTGATCGATTATAGATAAATGCATATAGATTTGTGATGTTGGAGAATATTTGTAGCTCAGCTGGATGATTTTGATGGAGTTTTTTTCTCTGAGCATTTTGATTTGTTTTCTTTTAAAATTGGTTGTTCTTTTAGGAAACGTTAATAATTCCCGGGGAAAATTTTGCAGAAGCCAGTAGAAATCTTAAGAAAAAAAACATTTCGATGACACAGTATTCTGTACAATTTTCTACGAGAAACCTAGAAAATGATTGATTATGGTTGTTTGACACTGATTGAATAATTACCAAATCCATTAATGAATTTTTAGTATGTTCTCTGTAAATGTATTAGATCTTAACGGCCAAATATTTCAATAAATACACTCGTGTTTTTCTAGGGGACGTTAGATCCTCAGAACTCACTTGGGAAACCACCTAATTTTGCAATTTTATTTAGGAAATTTGAATTTCTTTGTTTTCGCGCCAAAGGTGCTCTTGTCACCTTCATGTCGTATTTCCCACTGGGAAATACCTTAAATGCTATTGGTCCGTTGCGTCTTTTAGTATGCTGTTTGGTAACTCTCCCCAAGGACGGTTTCGCACTGTATATATACGTTTTGAATTGTGTTTGTTGTTATCGCTCGTTTCTAGCTGTTTTGCAGAATATACTTCCCATTCCAAGCTTGAACTTCTCCCTCTAGTTAGCTGGGCTGGGATGCATCAATAGTTAGCTTATTGGTCTTTGGTCACCGAGTCTCGTTCTCGATCGCCGACTAAGTGAACTCGTGATAGATTCAAACTTAGCAGTTTTATACATAATCTAATATCTGTAGTAAAATTTGTTCAGAACTTTTTATATTTTTCTTATTGAATTAAAACTCAGTAACTTTTGGGGTCTGGGAATCGATTAGAAAGTTGTCGTCTGAGCTTTCATATGAAATATTCTTCGTCATCAAGTTATGGTAGCATGTTTCTAGCACAGTAAAATTAGATAAGCTTCCATGTTTAGATGAAATTTACTCTAAGACTTCATGGTACAAGATCAAGTTTTATTCTTGCATAATTAGCCTGTGAAATCCTAGTAGACGATTCGTAGATAGTTGTCAGTCTATTATTAACTAGAGGTCCATTGAAAACCAATAAAGCAGTAGACAATTATTTCATCCTTAAACGGTAAATCCCTACACGTTCAAATATGACAGTGGACTGAAGGTATCATGTTTCCCAAAAAAAACTGTCTAATGATTCCATGTTCGATTTTGCGTATAATCTTCCAGAGTTTGAAACTAAGGCAGCAACAGGCATCCAAATGCTTTCTTCATTTTTCTGGTCTCTAAAATGATAGCAAAATTGGCAATATAATCTTGTTTCAGTTTATGAGGTTAGGTATGCAAACGGTAATAATTTCATGTAATTTATCAAAAAATAAGTATGTGTAATGTATTCATACAAGAAATCATCTCTGGACATACATTGCTAAGTAAGACAGTATTTAAGAAGCTTTTAACCGATTTAAAAAAATGTTTTGAAAATTTGTTGTTTGATGTCAACCACTTGTTATGACAATCAAAGATAATCTTCATAGTATAAATATATAAACTTTCTAAATTTCTTAAATGCCCACTATCATGTCAATCTTGTAGAATCTGTTAGATTACAGATAGTTGTCAATGTTTTAGGGAATAATTAATGTAAAAGGTAAAGGTCAAATTACTGATGTGACACTAATACTGTGAGTTAATTTTTAAATTCGTTTTTTATTCATTAATTTGAATTATCGTTAATAAATCAAGATTTATTATTATGTCGCAAACAAACCTATCATTATCAAAGATGAATAGTAACTATCAGTCAAATCAAGGGGGCGCGTTTCATCCTATTTCGAACTCGTCAGCTGAATGTACCTGTATGCCACAATTGATGTTCACTCCAAGACTCGAGCCTAGTACTGTTAGCTTCGAACGCCGTCGCTTTATCTACTTATCAACTGAGTCCTGATAGACACTTGCTTATGTAATGTGATGAAGTTTAAATTCACTTGGTATTATTTGTTTGTATCTTCCCAATGTTATTCAGGACTACAACTGGTCAATCTTCGCTTATATCATTAATTCGACTCCTAAGTTTACTTCGTATTTACAGAAAAATTCGTTAATCTGTTATGCTTGTAGAATTGATTTAATCTCATGTCACTGCCCAGTAAAATTAATACTTAAATCAGAAGCTTTGTGGATATTTCAATAATTCCAATAGTTGAAGTCATGAGACAGTTGAAGCTAGAACATCATGAAAAACTTGGAAGCAGTGGGTGGCCGTTTCGTCCTAGTATGGTACTCTTCACCAGTGCGCATCCACGATTCCACCCTTCCTGAGATTCGATCCCAAGACCTATCAGTCTCACGCGTGAGCGCCTAACCATAAGACCACTGAGCCTGCTGGCATCCAACAGTTTTAATGTCTAACTTCAACCAATCGACGCAATTGCGCCATCGTACACTATTGTCTTCGTGAGCTAATATCTCACAACAAACCTGATTGAACTCCACTAGTCACAGCTTCTCACTGCAACTCCAGGAAATGCCTCTAGAAGTCAATCACTAGTGAGCAGATGATTGTCATCAGAAGTTATGTAAAGATTTTAGTAATTTCAATAGTTAAAATCATGAGTCCATTGAAACTAGACCACCATGAATACCTGGAAATAATGAACGGCCGTTTCATCAGTGCATGTTCACAATTCTGTTCTCAGGATTCAAACTACTAAGTTAACATTCAATAGTATTTATGTTTAATTTATAATTTAACTAAATAATTAACTTTCTTCTCATATTATTCTTATTAGATTATCCATCATTCATAAACTGTGATATAAACCAATGAAGTTAAAAATTATCAAATTATTCTATTATTATTATCAATATTTATCTTATATTATTCAAATTATCATTCAATATGAGAAATATTTCAATTATTCAATAATCAATTTATTGATTCAATTCATCATCATTATTCATTGGATTCATTTCATTCTATTAATCATTATTATTATTTATTCATATTTCACATTCAATTATCAAATTGAACAATATAATATACTTGAAATAATTTCAGATAGATTTATATTATTCATTATTCATTTATATAATAATAAGAGTTTACAAACCATCACAACCGCTACTACTACTCATATAATTATTAGTAGTATCATTATTATTAGTAGTAGTAGTATTAGAAGTAGTGTTCTTATTATTTTCTATTATCATTCTTGTATAAAATCATTATGTTTATTAAAATTATGTTCATAGAATGGTTATGGTGGAGATGGTATCATTATAAATATTGGAAATCAATTATTCTAATCAATTTTAAATGGATTATTTATATGGATTTATTGATTTTATTATTCAATTTAAATAAAATTGAATCCAATCTTATTATTATGAAATCAAATATGTCTTTCAATAATAACATATCGATTAATTTATATCATAATAATAATGATAATAATATAAAAAATCAATACATTATTGATCATCATCATGATCCTTATAATAAATCAAATATTCAAATAATCCATAAAATTGAACGTCGAAGTAATTCAAAACAATCAGAACAACGACAACAACAACAACAACAACCACATCAGCAACAACAACAACACCAACAGCCAACTACAAATTATTATGAACCTGAAGAAATTTTATCACCAGATTATACATTACCATATCAAGATATAAAATGTATGGAATTTATTCAATCTACTGAAATTAAATATATAAAAGATTCATCATCCATGTTAAATGGATTTTTTGGTATGTCTAATTTACCAAAACGTACAATTGAATATAGTTTTCAAACACCAAATTATCCAGCACCATATCCATTGAATATTGAATGTATTAAAGTAATTGCTGGTAAGTTTATAAATTAATGAAATTATAGATTATTATCACAAGGAGTTTGTGGAGATTTTTTAGAACTTTCACAGACTGAAATCATGAATCAATTGAAGCTAGACCACCAGGGAAAACCTGGAAGCACTGGACGGCCGTTTTGTTCTAGTATGGGACTCCTCAGCAGTGCTCATCCACGATCCCGCATCCCGCGGTATTCGAACCCAGGACCTATCAGTCTCGCGCTAGGCACTTAACCAACTAGACCACTGATCTGACACCCACTGGTGTTAATGTATAACTTCAACCAATCCACGAAGTTGCGCTACCGTATACCATTGTTTTCAGTGAGTTGATATCTTACAACAGACCTGGTTGAACTCCACTGATAACGGCTCCTTACTAGAACTCCAAGAGTATCTCTTGATGATTTATTATTTTTTTACTACAACAAAAAACAAATGAATTTTAACAGTTGAATTCATGAGTTAGTGTAAGTAAGACTTTAGTGAACCTTGATTTAGACATTAATTAGATCGGATGATGATCATGACATGACTCATCACTTTAGTGACCTAGGGATCTGACTCCAGTGAGGTTGTTTTTTACTACTATTGAGATATATATATCGTCAAACCTCGTATATAATCATCGACTTAGATCGCGTTAGTGAATAACGGAATTACATAAGTCAAATATGATAATGGATTTTTGAATGTATATATTTTGCATACTCACTGATCTGGATAGGGAATCAGAGGATGAAGCGAATAGAAGAGAGCGGAACAAAATGATGCACAGTGGAGAAGGCATGTGAGTCAACTCCATCTAGTCAAGCGTTAATCAGTATTTATAGTCACACAAAAATAAGCTATAGACATGGGAGAATGAGAATAAGAAGGGTACACACATATGCGTTCATGTAAAAACAGTGAAGATTGATAAACAAATAATTAATAAGGTGAAAATGTGACTCAAGTAGAATGAATGGATTAACCTGTCCGAAAGCTACAATAAGTTATATGGGCTTAACATGTCAAGCGACACTACAAAGCCACCGTCGAAAACTTAGAAACACTGAATGGCCATTTTGTCTTAGTATGGGACTCCATGACTGTGGAGACATTTATGCAAATCATAAAATGCATGAAGGATTTTAAAAGATGACGAGTCGATTAAAAATAGACATTAACTGTGGTGACGCGTGAGACTGAAGGTCCTAGATTCTAGTTGCTTGTGCGTACTGTTGAGTTCCATAATAAGATATAATGACTGCCTAGTGTTTTCAGGTTTTGATTTATGGTCTAGCTAAGATATGATCATGATTTAAACTGGAAAATCTCATATTTATTAAAGTTGAAACATTTGTTAACCTTACTTTTTATGAAGTCGAACATGTCAGATGTGTTAACTTGAGAACTGAAACAAACTTAATATTGAAGTTAAGATGTTATTATAAAAAAGGTGGTTATTTTTATGTAGGAACCGGTTTTACTTTTCAAAAATTATCATTATGGTTAATATTTTCATCATGGAGATGATACATTAAACGTGAAACCTAAAGATTGAGGTCTTTACTTTGGGTTGTGATCATGGATAAGCACTAATGTAATGTCTTAAATACATACAAAATAAATTTTGGTGATTTGCCATGATTGACATCAATGTCTGTTCAGTTAATGTCTATCCGATCAATTAATCACCGATTAGTGATTGATCAAATAACTGTCTAATCCTTTTTATTACTGGTCGAATCCTATCGATCAAGTCTTAAAGTGATCAAAAATCTAAATAACCTTTGCATTATATACAAACATCAAACTGATTCATAATAGTCAACAAGAAAACCTACTTAACTTAAATTTCATACTATTTGTCACTTATCAACAAGTCAATATATAAGATCTTGAAGAAATAAAATTTTCTTATAAGAATTTCACTTTTTATCATTTAACTTTACAATCTGAAATCTTACCACAGAACCATTTAATCAACAATTGATCTCTTCAATGCATATAATAAAATCAACTTCTAAAACGTATTCATTTACCACAATTTTCTTCTTGAAAAAGCTTATTGTTTCAAACAACAAAATAAAGCTTTTTTAAATAAAAATAGATAGTGGCTAGCAGTAGAATCTAGTCTGATACGCGTTTCATCCTATTTGACACTCGTCAGCTGAATGTAACTGCATACCAGAGTTGATGTTAATTTTGGAACTCCAACCCAGTACTGTTCGATTCAAACGTCATTATCCATCTTTGCTAAAACAAAAACTTGTGACTTAAGATTATATCGAGGCAATCCACACAGAATGTACATATGCTAACATGAGATTGATCGATTTCAGTCTTAAATAACAATGGTTAGATACAAGTAAAATAACATCAATTGAATTGGAAAAAAAGGAGCTTGTTTTTTTTTTCTTCATTGAATCATTTAACCAATTCATAGCATGAGTAGTATGATAAATAAAATGAAATTTTATTTATTTATTTAATTATAATTTATATTCTTTTCTCTTACTAAAATAAAACCATAACAAAGACAATAACACCAAGAACGTTTACTTTTTTTTGAAAAGAAATAGAGAGAGAACGAGAGAGAAAGAAAGAAAGAGAAGATTGAGAATAGAACTAAATAAATGAAATAGAATATGAAGAAAACACAAAAAAAAAGAGAAAAGAAACGGTTTCATTTTTCCATATTTTCACTAAACTTCACCAATCTTCTATATATATATATATTTCATTATGTGTTCTTCTACTATTTTAGAAGTACTTATTCATTGACTTACATAGACACCCATACAATGTCGCCTTTAACGATTGCCAACATTCTTTTCTTTTTTTTATTTTTTGTTTGTTTTGTTTTGTTTCTGTGATAATATAATCAATCAATCGATTATAAATTGTTTATTATTATTATTATGGTTATTAATATTGTTTTCGACAGGCAATTAGTTAGAAGAGGGAACAGGGAATCGGTTCGATGAATTTAAATTAATTTTATTTTATTTTTTTAAAAAAAAGGAAAGTTACTTTGAACATAGAAACGGAAAAGAGAATATTCATGGATACATTCTATGTATGAAGATAAATGATGAAATCATTTAATTGGATAAAAGATTTTCTAAAAATAAGATTTAGTATTAGTGTCGAAGTCTTCTTCTTCTACTTCTTGAACTAGAATTCGGAATGTTTAATGAAATTTAATGTGTTTGAATCGAATTTCGTTAGATAATATGTACCAACTGTGAAATACATATATATATGCAAGTGTCTGTCTCTCTAAACATATATATGTATGTATCTATGGTTGGTTGCGATGAAGTAAGAGTGTTTGCGTGTACAATTAATGAAGATAAATTTTTTACTTGAATGATGACTGTTTTAAATTTCTATATGATGGTTGATACTATCCGTTATGTTCTTCGTGTTTAAGTTTGTAATTTATTCATTATTTTTGGACATGTATATAAAAGACAACTACATATAATTCTAGAAAGTTTAAATAAAATCTTTGATTGAGATTATGAACCGATTGATGTTAGACCACCATTAAAAACCTGGAAACACTGGACGGCCGTTTCGTCCTATTGTGGGACTCCTCAGCCGTACGCATCCACGATCCTGCTCGCGGGATTCGTACCCAGGGCCTTCGGTCTCGCGCGCGAACACTTAACCTACTGGACCACTGAGCCGGCATCCAATGGTTATAGTGTCTAACATCTTTGATAAAAGTTATATTTGAGTTTGTGGCCCTATTCCACTACATGAGTTTTAAAAGAAAAGAAATAAAAGTAACTAGTTATAACACATGAGCTAAGCAACGAAATCGGTTGGATGGTCTTGGCCATTTTAAACGACGTAAAAAAATACTTTGTTTATTGTCTGGATTAATTTTTTTTAAGAAAAATGAAAGGTGTGAGTTTTACTACTGATTTACATGATGAGTAGTAGTAGATTTGCTCATCAAGATTTATGATTATTATGTTCTATTTAATGATCATTCTAAATTGATCATTGAAAGTGAACAATGCTTTGTACGAATTGTCTTTTTAAGAAATGCAGATATACAACCGTATAGTTTCTTTTACTTATTCGGTTTTCAATGACCAATTCTTGATCTATTCATAGATTTTTCATAGAACAAATTAACACATTATCGCTTAACTTGGGAAAGGGAAGGAACAAAGTTATTGTAATGAAATTCCTGTTCGAAAAAGGAGATGAAGTTAGGAAAAAAAGATATTATAAGAGCGAAAAGAGTTGGACAGTTTTAAAAAAAATAAATAGAGGCTAGTCATTGTTGGAAAACTTGTTAAGATATAGTTTCTGTTCAGTATATACAATTTTAATAGTTCTAAGACAGGAATTCTATGCAATATTAATAAGTTTGTGTCTAGAATTCGATTGTCATCCTTATTAATAATTAAATATAAATATACTTAATGATATATTACTCTTGTATGCAAACATAACATGATGATGTCAAATTGAATGTGTGTCGAAACCTATTACATTTATATGAGAAAGTTTCAGTATTACTGAAATAGTGGTTTCAAAGTTATTTTGACAATGAAAAGTTCTATATTTTTTGACTATTTTGATTCAACTACTTATAAGTAATAAATTGATTTCTATTCTTCAAATGAAAATTATCTATCATAAGTTAACAATTAAATGAATATTAAGATGCAGTGATTTCGATTGAGTTTTTATCGTCTAAAGTGGTTAGTTTACTTGTAAAGTTTTCATTGTTCCCCTTGACGACGTCATCAACACAAAAGTCAAGTAGAAATGAAGTATTCGAACTCATCCATGTTTTGGTAACAACGGAAAGATTAAAACATTCAGCTCAGGGAACGAAACTCCATCAAAATCATTCGCGTTAGCAATAAACCTTCTTCACTGTCTATAGTGAATTGGATTTTTTTTAAAATGAGTGGTTGTCAGGACATTAATGTTTTAACTTGAATTCTTCCGTATGGTAAATTTTTCAGTACACTAGTAAGAATGAGTACCACTATGAAATAAAACTTACATCAAATAGATAATTATTAAGAATTTTGATGTAAATAACGACCGTTTTCTTCCAGTATAGAATATTGCGTCCTACTGCTCATTTTAATAGCACTTGCAATTCCTCACCTACTCATGCAGAATAAGAATGTATGTGAAGATTTCATACTAAAGTCCATGTGAGTTGGGACGCGTCAGTAAAGTACTTTGGGGATTATGAGTGAAATGATGCATCTTAGTAGATTCGAACTCTCGTTAACAAACTCTACAGTTTACAATGATTCAGGTTAACCATTCAGAAAGCGACATTTCAGTTCTGCAAGAAGTTAGTTAATGCTCAAATCACCCAGAGGTCATGTCCTCTAATATGGAGTCATCAATATGATTACGAATACCTCATAGACTATTATTGTCTGGTATAACGAAACACTGATCTATGAATTATGAATGTTTTCCTTCAAACATATATATATATATATATATATATATATATATATATATATATATATATATATACTAAATAATATTTGATTTGTTTTCTGAACTTAATCAAGTAGATACATATTTGAAGTTTATAAAATGATGCTAAGAATAAATGAGGGAAGCTAACACGAAATAAGTCGGATAGTATTGCTGAAGTGAACGAGAACAGAAGCGGGGACATCCTAATGTTTTACAGTGAAACATTACAGAATCATTTAGTAAAATTTGAGAATCATACAGTAAATATTTCATCTAAATGATGTCAGTCAATTGTCTCAGACCTCAGTGTTCCTTCGTTTCCTTAACAACCACTCTCTGTTCTCGTTCTCTTCTCTTCGATCTTCTTAAACTTTCGTTTGACGATGCATACTACTTATATCTGTCGACATCAGTAGCACACATCACAGTAACAATAACCCGTTGGAAAAAATATAACACTCATCTGATCATGTAAAAAAAACACACTAAAGAAGTCTACTGTCGTATTTTCAGCGGTAAAACAACTCAGTAGAATAACTATGGATAATAAAAAATAACATTGAGAAAGCGTAAGAGTTACTTAAGGATTTAAACGTGTACTAGCTAATGAGCATAGATCGTGTTAAAAAGTTGACACAACCAGATCTGCATGTTGTTGAGCAATCTTGTAAAACTGGATAAACATCACGTGATAGGCAAATCATCCAGCTCAAAAGAACACAGTTTTCTTAGATTGGTCCTCCTAAGGTATAAATTTTCTCGATCAAATTATAAGGCAATGACAGTTGGGAGTAAAAATACTTGTTTGTGAGTGTTATTTAATCATAAATGTGTCTGAATTTCAAATTTACTGATGTTAGGTAAATAATCAAGCTTTGAGTATTATCACTTTTACGGGTTATATCTGTACATTGATGAGAAGTAACAAAACTAGACAAAATAACCACTAGTGTTGTCATTCGTTTTTATCAGGAACTCCTGACGATTCCTAGAACATGTCTCCAAAAGCCAGAAGAATACTAAAACTACTTTGACAAATCTATGTTTTGCAGGGACTTCCAAATGAACTGTAGAAAAAAATCGAAAACGTCTTCACTATTCTGACCGGAGAAATACAGATTCTACTGTTCATTCTGGAGCTTCCTTCAGAAGCTTCTCACGTCTTTAGATCTTACATTATTCTCTGAATATCCTTGTTCCTCATGCATAAATTTAACTTAAGAATAGATCTTTTCCTACTTTACACCTTTTGTATTACATTTAGCGATCAATTGTAGAAGACTCTTGAGGACTAGATAGTGGTTAGGAAGTCAGTATCAAGCATTTTAACTGTGAAGCATATAAGCTTTTCAATTCTTACTAATTTATAATTAAATTAATATTTTTATTTGACGTATTATGTAATTCATATTAGTATGTTTCATTATAACTGATGTGAATAAAAATCTCCTTCCCTCCACTTTGTTTTTTTACACACAGCACCTACCGATCAACATCGTATTGTGTTACATTTTCGTGGAACATTTGAATTAGAACCTGAATCACATTGTACAACAGATTTTTTAGAAATAAGAGATGGTGCTTTTGGATTTACTACATTATTGGGAAGATTTTGTTCAAAACAAGTGCCTGATTTAGGCACTGGACTCATATCAACTGGTCAATATATGTGGTTACGATTTCATAGTGATTCAACTATTGCTCATAGAGGATTTCAAGCAGTTTATCGGTTTATTCAAACAGGTAAATCACATTGATAGGTATATTTTTAATAAAATGATTTTGTGAAGATTAGTTTATTACGTAGGGTTGGATGGAGAATGCTGGTGAGTGGCCTATGCTCCTTCACGAGGAGTAACAGGCGTAAGTAAGTAAGTAGTTTATTATATATGTAGCATTTGTCATAGACTTATTTCAGTCCGAACATCATTGAATACCTAAAAACATTGGACAGATATTTCGGCCTAGTATATGAACTCGTAAGGATACCTTATGTTCTTGGGTTCGGTCTTTAATGTTCACGCACTGCTGAGAAGTTCTATAATGCAAAGAAATGGTTGTTGATTTTTTGCTGGTTCTAATAGACACATTAACTCAGATCAATCTATAATGACATGTATTATATTAGTTTTCTGTTCGAATCAGTCATTATTGTAAGCGAAAGATGCTTCTTCTAGACAATTCTTGAAATCTCAGGACCATTGAATAGTTTAAGATTACTTAGAAATATCCATTAATGACTTTGCTAGAGAGTGAATTTGATATTCTCAGTCTCGTGAATAGTGAGTTGACCATAGATCACCGAGTCGAAATCAAATAGCGAGCATTTCTTTCTAAATTAATTCATGGTATTGCGTATTCATCTTTCTTTCATAACGGTGATGCCTATTTCGCTACTAGAACTAAGAGAAAAAGTTAGAAAACCTTCAAAGTTCTGTTATATTCATTTACCTACTGAGCTATAAAACATAAACAAATACCTAATTTTAAGTTGATTTAATCACTGAATAAATGAATATCTTATCAGTTAAATGTAAAACCTTTTACGTATTGAACATTGACACAGTGAGACAACTGCTAGTGGATCCATTCCAGAAATACACTATTTATTTATCTATGTAACCCTAGGAATAAATTCTATTCGAAAGAGCTTAGCATAGTTTCTCATACCATTCACTTTTTGAAATAATCTTAGTTATAAGTATCCTTACCAAGGTTCTATTTGATAATTTCGAATAAATTGAGCATTGGGTTGATTGTTATAAATAAAAATAATATATTTGTAATATCACAATGAGTAGAGAAATTAGATTTTCTGACGTTTCGTAACTTAGTGTAAATCACTTCTTCAGAGAATAAATAAACAAATTAAAATTAATCCAAGTTTAAATAGTACAACTATTAATATTAATCTTAGTTATAGGAAAATTTACCGATTACTTCTAAATTCTAAGAGTCCCACATATTCATAGTTGATAAAGCTTAATGAATAAACATTATTTAGATATTCGTTAACACTGCTGAACAAAAACTGATCATGATTAATTATATGATGCAAACATACTTACATATATACATAAATGCATATAAACATGCACTGAATAAACCTCTTCACAGAAGTGGCCATATTGTAACTTAGTAGATGAAACTCGATAAACTTTAAGAACTTATATAACATGATATTAGTTGTCATTCAGTGAATGATTTATGTTAACATTATAGTCTTGCAGCTCAATGTTAGCATCTCTAACTATGACAATGTGTGATATGGTTGAAGTTTCACAAGATTATATATATTTATATTACGAAACATATCTATCCCCTCATGTTTCATTTTTAGGTTCACACAAGCCAACGGATAGTGTTTCACGTGAGTCAATCTTTTTCTATAAAAAGTTATTTAAAGCTTTTTACTTATGCCTGTTACTTCTCGTGGAGGAGCATAGGCCTCCCACAAGCACTCTCCATCCAACCCTATCCTGAGCAATTCTTTCCAGCACTTTTCAGTTGCTATTCATCCTTTTCATATCTCCTTCTATTTCCCGACGTAATGTGTTCTTTGGTCTTTCTTTTTTCCGTTTTCCCTTAAGATTCTAAGTTAAGACTTGTCTCTTGATGTATTTTGATGATTTCTGTACTGTATGTTCTATCCACTTCCATAAACGTTTCCTAATTTCCTCTTCAGCTGGAAGTTGATTTGTTTTCTGCCGCAGAAGGCTGTAGCTGATGGTATCCGTCCAATGAATGTTGAATATCTTGCGTAGACAACTATTTATAAATACTTGCACCTTCTTGATGAAGGTACAATATCATACTGATCCATTTTCTAGATTGACTTTTACTATTTCAGTTATGTCATAACAATTTATGAGACTAAACATTTATTCACTGATAACGTGTACTATATATAATTACCATTCAATATAAAATTATCACGTTTAATTAATTAATGATAGAAGTACATGGGATTCTCTTTAAATTTCAGAGGAAAAAAAAGAAGTGAGCAACATATCAACCATCATTAGACACAGTTACTAATTATGCAATACATTTGATGATATAAAAATGATGATTGTATGTTCTTGTGAAATTTTTTTGAAATTTCATACTTCACATAACGATATAATCTTAATTAGATAAGACTCATTGAACAACTATTTTATTCTAGTATGATCTAAGTACATTTAATCACTTTGTAAAGAGACTTGAAAGCCTTGAGTTCACTATTCAATGAGATCTTAAATAGGTATTGTTGTGACTGCGTATTATCGATCGGACCAAAGACGTGTAAACACATGAGAACAACCTAGAGTCTTGATTGGTCCCGCTCCCCTGTCTAGCCCAGCCAGTTTAGTCCAGAACACCAGCCTCAGCCTCTGAGATATGAATCATTGTATTTCAAACATACTGAGTTTATATACCAAACAAACCGACCACAATGTACCAATAAAATATGAAACAACATTTGTACAAGAATTAGCCAGAGTTGGCTGTGAATGAGGGAGGTAGCGATTAACAGACAGGGAATAATTCATGAATGGTAGATCGTATAATTATAGTGTATGGGTCAAATCAAAGCTTATAATAAGAGCGACATGAATATGAACAGTTTATTTCCATAACAATTATACAATAAAAATATACTCATAATATTGGTCCATAAATGGATCCCAAAAATTACTATTCATTATTCTTATCGGAATACAACAGGTATTAAGTTGAAAAGTCTTTTATTAGAGTAGAATGACTATACAATGCCTCATAGTTCCCTAAGATTAAATTAGTCTATTGTTGGGGTGATTTAGAAAACTTCTCACAAAAGACAAAAAAGGCTCAAGAAACACTAAGAAGCATTTTTTTTTCCCAATCAGCTTTCACTAGAAGTTTAGCCAGAAACATCAAGAAAGTGAAAAGTCACATGTAGAGTTTCTGATTGGCTGGTTACTATACTGCTACTATGTTTAGTAGCATTCCAGAATTTTCAGGAGACCCAAGGACATCTAAAATACTATAGAAACCCTATGTTTTCTCTAATAAAACAAATATTTGGAGTGAAGTGCTTCTCGCATATTTCACGCTTTTTTACTCATGTTCAGATCGCTGTATATTTCTAGCTTGTGAGGTTACAAGAATAGCTTAGGAACCGAATATAACGTTCAATGAGCAAGACTTATCATCTATCATATAAGACCTAATAATATTTCATTTGAATAATGTGCGGTTGTTTTTTTTTTCTCTACAAACGAATTCAATAAGTAACTTTCTAATCAATTACGGATTAGAAGTAAATGTTTTTAACAACATAAGAAACAAGAAAATGAAGGAAAACTACACCCTATCCTTCTCTTCCATTCATTCATTCATTCATTCATTCGTTTTTTCCTCATCTTAAACAAACAAATGTTCATATTTCAATGTTGTTGATATATTTTTCAAAAAGAATCTTTTCCCAATGATATACATTTTCTATATAAAATATAGTGTCTTTGCTCTATCTTTTCTATTATTACCACTATTATTATCACTATTATTATTATTATTATGCTTGTATATATTACTCACTACTGTTTTGACTAATAGTATCCAAATATAAGTGTTTGTTTGTAAGATCAAATTAATTTAATATCTACTTACTATACTTATATAATAAGCTTATAGTAGTAGTGGTAATTATTTGATAAATTTTTGAGAAGTATCTTTTTTCCTCTCTCTCTCTAACATAGATACAAACACACACAAATACATATGGACATATAACCACACACGTATAGGTATACCTATTCATGCACATACATATAGTCGATCATCATAGATAAGATGTTCTATGTATATATATACGCACATGTAGCTGTACACTGTATAACATTGAAGCGACACAAGAATACCGCCATCAGTGATAACAGTTGAAATGCTAATATAATAATCTTAATATTAATTGTAATAACATTATGATTTATTAAGGGAAAAAAAAAGATAACAAGTAGGCGTAAAGAAGGCTCTTGTTTAATTGGAATTAATTTAGGTCACGCATATCAGTACTATTACTACTACTACTACTACTACTACTACTACAAACATTACTTACTAAACGGGGCTATTTGACATTAGTTCTATGCAAAAACTCGATTAAGAAAATGATTTAAAACAAAAAGAACTTGGGAAAAATAAAATTGTAATGGTTCTTATGACTTGATTGTACAATAAATTAAATTTTTGGAGCTTATGAAATAACATACTACTTTTATTATTATTATTATTACTACTACTGCTACTACTACTACTACTACTGCTACAATTGTGGTGTGTACTACTGATATCGACAGATATAAGTAGTATGTGTCACCATTCCAAAGTGAAATGCCTGGTAGAAGGAGGTTAAGATGATCGAAGGAAGAGAGCGAGAACAGAGAGTGATATATAGATACTCTCATTGTACAACTATTGAGTAACTATATTATTTGTATGTTCATATTCCTTTCATTATAAGCTCTTAATTGACTAATTGGTTACTGTTATATGATTTACTATTCTCAAGTTATTCTCAATCTATTAGTCACAGTTTCTCATAATCACTGTAACTTTGCTTTGATCTTGTAAAGATATTTTTTTGTTTTTTTATGGTGTGATGTAGTTTGATTTGTTTGTATATAAACCCAGTATGTTGTAATATATGATTCATAATCTGGAGGCCGATATTGGTATTCTTTATTGAACCGGTTGGGTTAAGAGAGAAGCAAATATCCTGATAGACTAATAAGAACCTAGAATTTACTCTGGACTGCTCGTACTGGTTTATGCGTCATTGATCTGGTCATATAAGTCGGTGTTCTAATTGGCGGTCGTATCACGTGATAATTAACAAGCTATATGAACATAACAAAAGCCAGCAGGAACCACTCAGAATATCATTAACAAGTAGTTTCTTTTACATTCAGATCAATGATAAATTTGCCAGATGACATTATTTTATAGTGTAAATCACTTTAGAGTTGTAAGTCTAGAGTTGTGGAAACTGTTGAATTACATTGAAAACATGCATCGATCAATGTTAGGCCATCATTGTAAACTTGGGAGTACTAGACGGCCGTTTCGTCCTAGTATGGTACACCTCAGTAGTGCGCATCCACGATCCCACCCGCGTGATTCAAAACCAGGACCATTGATCTCTCACAAAGACGCTTAACCTCCAAATTACTTAGCCGGCAACCAATGGTGTTAATGTGGGATTTTTTGAATTTATTTTATCAATTCCACCAGTAACCTAGGCAAATGAAAATATGACAATATTCAATTTGAAATAACACTTTCTATTTGAAGATTAAATCACTAAATATACACCTGTATTATATGTTATTCATATTAATTATAGTTATTTAAATGAGGTAATATAAATTGAGATCATATTTAAGCAAAATAATTATTTTAATATTTAATCATCACGTTACAAATGAATCATTAATTTGGTTTTAAATCAAAAGAAAAAAGAGAAACTTCACTTGTTACTTACCTACTTATTTAAGCCTGTTACTCGCAATGGAGCATAGGCCAGAGACCAGCATTCTCCAACCCACTCTGTCCTGGGCTTTCATTTCCAGTTCTGTCCAATTTTTGTTCATTCCTCTTATATCTGTCTACATTTCTCAACGTAATGTGTTTTTTGGTCTTCCTCTTCTCCTTCTTTGGCCTTGAGGATTCCATGTGAGGACTTGTCTTGTGACGCAGTTGGGTGCTTTACTCAATGTGTGTCCTATCCACTTCCAGCGCTTCTTCCTGATTTCTTCTTCCGCCGGGATCTGGTTTGTTCTCTCTCATAGTAGGTTGTTGCTGATAGTGTATGGCCAACGGATCTGAAGTATTTGCGTAGACAACTGTTAATAAACACCTGTATCTCGTGGACGGTGACTTTCGTAGTTCTCCAGGTTTCCGCCCCATACAGCAGAACTGTATTGACATTTGTATTGAAAATCCTGACCTTGGTGTTGGTTGATAGTTGCTTTGAGTTCCAGATGTTCCTCAGTTGTAAATATGCTGCTCTTGCCATGCCGATTCGCGCCTTCATATCTGCATCAGATCCACCCTGTTCATCAATGATGCTGCCCAAATATGTAAAGGTTTTTACATCTTCCAAATCTTCTCCGTCAATTTTGATTGGATTGGTGCATGCTGTGTTGCATCGGAGAATCTTGCTTTTCCCTTTGTGTATGTTTAGACATACTGCTGCTGAGGCTGCTGCTACATTGGTCGTCTTCTCCAACATTTTTGTTGCGTGTGCGTGTTATTTTTTACTTAAACCTTCTCATAAGTGTTTAGGATTGCAATTGATCAGTCTCTTATTGGCATATGTGCATCCTATGATGATTGCCACAATATAGCCTTATGTCATCAGTATTATAAACAAAGATGGATAGTGGGTAACAGTGGAACGAAATTCGTCTTATTTGGGACTTGACAGCTGGATGCACCTGCACCGCACAGTTAATATTCGCTCCGAAACTCGAACCTAATAACGTTCACTTCAAGTATCGTCTCGTTATCCATTCAGCTTTTGAGTCTTCATAGCTTGTACAATATGGTCAAGTTTAAATTCACTTGATATTGTTTACTTGAATCCTTCCATTGATGTTTAAGACTGTAATTGATTAGTCATCTATTGGCATATGTACATGATGTACAGATTGCTTCAATACTGTCTTAATTCACAAGCATTTTAAGCAAAAAGTAAAAGGAATCGAAAGTAAAATTACAGGAATCTAATATTGTAATCTGATAGGATGTACGTTTACAAATAAGAAAAAGAATTAAATGTAATTTTGAAAATAATAAACATAAATATATTTTTTTGATTTAATAATACTATAATTAAGATATCTATTGTTTTCTCTTTTTTTCTTTTCTCTTTTCTTTACTTCTTTCTATTCTTTTCTCTTTTTTCTTTTCTTTTTTCGTTTCTAATTAAAAGAAAGAATAATTAAGTATATAATTTAGTTAAGATAGCTGTAAAACAGATTTAAGTTTTTTTCTTTATTTAAAGGATGATTATCATTACGAAATAACATACTTCTAGTAACCATCTGATATATTTAAAGTTTCCTGCAATTTTGACTTTTTTTAATCGACTTCTTGTCAGTTCATACTTACATACATTAATATTATTATTAACACAGTATGTTGTCCTACTGTTAGTGTTGTGATTTTATGTCCGGTTAGTTATCGCGTGATTTATCCAACAATCAAAATACAACTTATACAATCTTAGCACTGTGAAAAAGCTAATAACATTCGACTGGTATGAGCACCCTAGCGTCCTTATTGGTCCTATGTCCGCCTAGCCCGTCCACTTGAGTCAAGAACATCAAATACCAGCTTCCAATATGCCAATCGAATCTTTTATTTCAGACATACTGCGTTTATATATCAATCAAACAGACCACAACGCACCATAACATCTGTACACAATAAAGTCCAAAAGTGCTTGCGAACATGGGAGGCAGTAATCAATAAACTGAACATAGCTTAAGAACAGTAAGTCGTACAATAAAATATCGTAGGTCAAAATGAAGCTTATAACAAGGGAAATATAGATATACATAATCTAGTTACCGAATATTTATACCATGAGAATATATAAATAATAATAGTCCATTAATAAGTCTCAGACGTTACTCGTAATATAATCTTCACTAAGATATAACAGTTAGTTTACATTCATGCATATATAAGTGAAGTGAGTATTCATTTTATTCATTGTAATATCTATCATAGTATATATTACTGATAGAATCAGATCAGAGACCGCAGAATTAACTAATCGTCCTTTTTCTTGCACTTTTCTTGATAAGTTTAAGTCAATTAGTTTCATTTCAATTAACATCTTTTCAGTTAACAATTAAAAACACAAACATTGTAATCTTGAAAATCTATTCTAACTAATCATCTTCAAAATGAACATAACAGTAATTCACTATCTTAACTTCGCCCCCCCCCGTTTTTTTTTACATAATAATGTATAGTGACTAAAGTAATGACATTTTCTATTACTTTAGATTACAATACGAAAAAAATATTTCCCATCATTAACTTACTTTTTGTGAACAAAGAAACATTATTATTTTCCCCCCACCCCCACCCCTACCCCCCATTTTGGTTTTAAAAAGATACACAACCCAGATAAATGTCATAAAATTCAATAAAATGTATGAGAAATGACATTTTTAGAAAAAAAACAAGGAAAGAAATTGGTGAAAATATGCACCTTTTCTTTACATGATTGAAAATTTGTGTATTCAATGGATTTTCTATGCGAATGTAAATACATGAATAACCTTGAAAAGATTTATTGAATCAATAATTGGTGATATAACACTTATTCTTCCTATTGAACATATTCTCTTTTGTCTTTTTAGCTTAAATGTTTTCTCATTCATTAGAATAATATACGGGATCTTAAAGAAATGTCCTAGAAAACTAATCAACATAAATCAACACACATTTAATGATTACTGTTTGCTTTTTATTGTTGTTGTTGCTGCTGCTGCTGTTGTTGTTGTTGAAGAATCATACATTTAGTTTTGTTAAGTCTAACTGATATTAATATAAATGAAAAGAATATCTTTTAATATTCCAATTGATGATATTAAAAGCTTCGCAAAACTTGGAAAGTGTTATATTCATGTTAGAATTTAGTTGAATTCAATATATTACTTATTTATTTGTAAGCAGCACAAAGTGTATTTCGGAGATATTTCCCTATGATTGTAATGATGGTGAGACTATAATTTATGGACGACCTTTGAGCAACGTTAAATTGATTTTGAGAGTGTCTACCTACTTACTATGGCTAAATGAGGGTTATAAAACAGTTTGAAGAATAATAATTATGATTTACAGTTGATGTTTAAGGTTAGGAATTAGATTTAGGGTATTCATCACGAACTGACATCAGCTATAATGCCAAAACTCTATTTAAACAAATGAGTGGATGAATTTCGCACCAAAATCTCAGACTTGTTCTCGTAAATCTGGTTGATTAATATACTCTCGCCGTGATGACTATTAGCGAGACTGAATTGATTATGATCTCAATTAGTAGGACTAATTCACGAAGTTACACGACCATCTTCCATTGTACTGAGGTAGACACCTGTTCCTACCCGACACGGATTAGCTCCACTGGTCACGACTTCTCACCAGAACTCCGATAATTTTCTCACGAAGCTATTCACTAGTGAGCACATGTTAATTATCAGTCTAGAGGTTGTAGAGATTGCTAAGTTTTTTTTATCGTGGACGCGCACTGCTGAGGAGTCCCACAATAGAACGAAACGGCCGTACAGTGCTTCAAGGTTTTTATTGGTGGTCTAACATCAATCGGTTGATGTTCTCATTCAAAAACTTCATAATCTCCACAACCCTAAACTGATAGATCTATAATTAATCCATTAACTGAAGACTGAACTATGATATTCTTTTTAGTTTCCATGAAGAATAAATTCAAATTGATCGATTTAATATATACTATGGTCACGTTTACACATTCTAGATTTAGTAGATTAGATCGAGTTAAGATAAGATCAACAGTTACAAGTAACTATGTTCATTATATTGTACTTTTTCTCTTTGTACTCCAATAAAACATAAAATTTAGCATGAAAGTGGAGTATTTTTTTTTCTTCAAGAGATCAAGAAGTGAATCAAAGACGTTTTTCAAACTTAATTAAATAAAATTTTAATGTGTGTTCTGTTGAAAGTTAAATATTTAAAAGTTTGATGAATAGAACTTCCGATTTTTTTTTTTTGAATAATTGAAGATGAATAAATGAGTAACTTAGCAAACATGGAATTGTCAACTAACTACTCAATTAATAAACAATATAATTAGATAAGAGATTCATTGATATTTCTCTATTTCTGGTTGATTCAATTGATTTACTTGAGAAAAGTATTAAATTTTATATTGTTTATCAGTGAAAACTAGTTCTGTTAGGATAGTCGGAAAAATATACCAATAATTATCGTGTTAAGTCTATGGTGTCCTTGAACCTTAAATGTACATTTCTTATTAGTCGATGTTTATTTCACTTGTTAAATATTTTGTAAATGTTGTTTCCTATTTTATGGTACGATGTGGTTTGTTTGTTTGGTATATAAATAGAGTATGTCTGAAATACAATGATTCATAACTCAGAGGCTGTGACTTGCGTTCTTGACTCAATTGGCTAGGACAGACAGCGAAGCAGGGCCAATCGGGGCACTAGGTCGTCCATACATGTTTTCCGTGTTACTGTGATCGGTCGATAAAACGCTGCTTATCAAACCCCACCAAGTCGCGCACACGTTACAACAAGTTCCTTGGTCTTTTGTTTCATAAATGTTATGTATACGTCTGTTACAAGTTAAAATGTTCTGATTATCTTAAGCAAGTTAGGAGTAAAATGAACTAAAATAACTTGATTGATCCATTTTTGTATTGTTTGTGTGAATCTTCCCATTGATGTTTAGGACAGTAATTGATCAGTCAATTATTGGAATACGTGCATCCTGTGGGTATTACTTAATTCACAAGTGTTATAAGCAAAGATGGATAGTGGCTAGGAGTGGAATGAAGAACGCGCATTTCGTCTTATTCAGGACTCGTCAGCTAGATCTACCTGAATCTCAGAGTTAATGTTCGAATGCCATCGCGATAGCTATCAGAACTCAGTAGCTAAATAGATAACACGATAGTGTTTGAAGCGAACAGTACTGGGTTGAAGTACCGGAGTGAACATTAACTCTCAGATGAAGATACATCCGACTGACGAGTCTGAAATAGGACAAAACGCTCGTCCTGGATTCCACCGCTGGTCACCATCCATCTTAAAATTGTTTAATTGACACTGAAATACTTGTTAATCATTTTATAATCACATATATTGTATTATACTCTTGTGATTGTCTATTTTAGTGAATTTACTTCCAGCATTATAATAATGTTTTGTTATATTTCTTTGTTTCTATAGATGTACAGTTTCAAATAAATTTACAACCTGGACAAGCATGGAAATTAGATCAACAGTATCTATTAATGAAAATGGAAAAATTATCACCGAAAATCCAACAATTACCATTAGAAGTGGCCTTAGATATCAGATCGACAAATGGAACATATGTAAGTTAGAAACAAATTATATAAAACGAAATAATCGTAATTGTGACTATTTTTACAGTATTGAACGAAAACACATGTAGGAGGGAGACAGCCAATGTGTTTGAACGCAAAATTAAAGAGTTATTTGATAAAATGTGTAAAACGTATGTTCAATACTTAATTTGCAAAATATTCATTAATCGTCTCAAACTTCATCGTTCTTTCATTGCCATAACAATTACTCTCTGGTCCCGTTCTCTTCGATTCGATCTTTCAAACCTTCTGCTGCTAGGCATTTTATTTCTGATTGATGTTATATAGTCTTTATGTCGACATCAGTAGCACACACCACATTTTAGTTTTGAAAATAAAGTGTACTTGCTAATATCTGTTAGATAATATATTCCTTTAAAGGATCAAACATTATGCTGTCATTTAACATGAATTCGTATAATTGTTCGAGTGTAAATTGTGTAATAAAAGCATCAAATTTCGGTGCAGTTTTATTCATTGAGTTGAATGATTTGGTGGTGGAGCTTTGATTATTCTTCTAAACAATATCATCACCATAAAGTTCTACTTGAATTTTGTGCTCAGAGAACAAAACTCCATCTAAATCGTTTACCTAAGCAATAAAAATTTGTCACTATCTCAAAAACATGAGAAAATAATCATGACTGAACTTTATCATCTTTTCTTTTATTCACTGTACACCTGTCGAATTATAAATCTAAATGGTCTATAAAATGATAGATCCTACATTGAATCGTCATATTCAAGTACTTTTTTTCTGTGTTCTTCATATTCAAAGATAAATCACTTCAACAGTTGAGATCATGAGTCAATTGAAGCTAGGCCATCATGGAAAACACCACTGGATGCCGGCTCAGTGGTCTGGTTGGTTAAGCGCCCGGCGCGAGACTGATAGGTCCTGGGTTCGGATCTTGCGAGGCTGGGTCGTGGATGCGCACTACTGAGGAGTCCCACGATGAGAGGAAACTGCTTCCAGTGCTTCCAGGTTTTCCATGGTGGTCTAGCTTCAATTGACTCATGATTTAAACTGTTGAAATTACTAAGATCTCCACAAAATACCTTCTGATAAATTACTTATCACATTTTGAAGAAAATCATTTTTGCTATTTAGAAAAAGAAAACCAAATCATTGTAATTAAATAATTTGATTGAAGTGTTTCACAAATCAGTAATAACGTGTTGGTAATATTCACTAAAGATTAAACCCAGATGACTTGGCATTGGAAACTAGGAAAGATTGGACAAGCTTTTTTTGTCTTAGTGTAAAAACTTCTCATAAGAACATACTCATAATCCAAGCCAAAAATAGATTTTCAGGAGTTTACTAGTTGTAACTTTGAATAAATGTCACCATTTTATTGAGAAATAATTGAATTCTGAATTTTACTATTGGACGCTAACTAAATGGTTCTAATGGATGAGGGTTTACCATAATGCCTAAAATTATTAGATCTTATCTTTGATAAAGTTGTAGGTAAGCATTGTAAAGAAAACCTATAATAAGATAAAACAAGGTTATAGTGTTGCCTATCTTTTAATGCATATTACTACACTTTTCATTCCTTCATAAATACAATACATGAATAGGTCGGCTACTTGTTGAAAAATATATTGTAATTAGAAAGTGGTTTTGTAGGGATTGTAATAATTTAATAATTGAATTCATGAATCAATTGAAGCTAGATTACCATGGAAAATTTGGAAGCACTGGATGGCTAATTTATCCTAGTATGGGACTCCTCAGCAGTGCCTATCCACGATCTCACCCCGCAAGATTCAAACTCAGGACTTCGCATGCTAACGCTTAACTTTTAATTATATTATTAATTAATCAACATTGTGAAATATGAATTAAGTTCAAGTTTATTTCGAACAGATTCCATATGAATTTCAATAGTGATTGTCTAGTTGATCTGACAGTAATTCTATATTAAAATTATTTATATCATAAGTTATTATCATATTTTGTATATTTTCTTTCTTCTTTATCAATATCCCTATTTGGTTTGTTTTCCTTTTTAAAAATCAATATATTTCAAATAAAGATCATGTTACATATTGATCATGTACAAGTTCCTCAATCAGCAGCATGGAGTTGTCAACCAGAATCAACTTTTACAAAATTAACAAGAATTAAATGCCTTACTGGTGAACCAATTGTATTTGGTTTAGAAAAAAAAAAGAATGGAAATGATAGTAAGTTAAAAACTATTGATTTATAACAGATAATTCATTCATTGAATAGTAACCAATGTTATATTTATTTATTCATTTAGTGTTGATTGAATTCTGTCAATCAGTCTTTAATGATTTATAAACATTAGTGTTATGTCCTTTAGTCTATCTACCCACTTTTGGTGTTGAGGATCCAGATTAAGACCTTAGCGCGATAGGTTGACCGACCTAACGTTGAGGATAGTACGCGGGAGTTCGAAATGTGGTAGAGAGAAGAAAACAAGAAGAAGACAAGACAACTGGAACACTACTCGATCTATTCCTGATATCCTGATTTCAGTTCGGATTAGTGTAAAAAGATACATGAATAAATAAGCGAATAACCCGACCACAACGTACAATATTTAGGAAAAATACAATTATGTCCAAGCTGGGAATTAAAGTAGAAAATAGGGTGCAAAATATCATGTAAATTACAATAGCTTTGGAACAAAAAGGGCTATAGCAGCGAATCATACATCAAACGGAAGCTTGTGTTCTGTAGAATAGACTAGGGTCAAAAATAAATGTTACTATTTTACAAGCTTCGAATAAAATGAAATAACGTCCCCCTAAAATAGCTTCCATAGTTTGTCAAAGCTTTTTGTTTCCCTGTTCACATCAATTAGATAATTGTTCTTTAGCGTATTCGAAATTTAGTTGCGTCTTTCTGATAAATCCCAATTACCATGAAATTTACATTCATTGTTTTGTGCCAAATACATGAAAGTACCTTACAACATGTGATACTTTACTAGGTATTATTTCAATCATAACATAGGATCATTTTGAGATATTACTGAGATAGAAATATAGTAGTACAAAGTGGTAGTTTGAATTTGCCCAAAGGCACATAATTAATATCGTAAACTATGTCTATTTCAAGATGTTAGAAACTTGGAAAATCGCCTTCATTTGAATTTTGAACTAATTGAACAAATAAGTATGCGAATGAATAATATATTTAACTGAGATGGTGGAGAAGATTTGTAGCTCAGGTGGATGATTTAGATGGAGTTTTGTTCTCTGAGCTGGATGATTTGGTCGTGGAGCTTTCAAACACTTCACTTCTATCTGAAGTTTGTGCTGGTGATGTCGTTCAGAAGAACGATGAAAGATCCACGACCAAATCATCCAGGTCAGAGAACAAAACTCCATCTAAATATATTTAACTCAATATTATTGTTATTTAAAACAATTAATCCCTTTGATAAATTTCGATAATGCTATGAGAAGACGAAGTTTAATTTGTGATATATTTGCGCAATACATTTCGAACAATCTGATCACACATTATATACTTGTTAAGAACATTTATATATGAGAATTATAAGGTCAACTAGACAGGTTAAGGGTAAGTTATAACAAAGGAAAAAATATTAAAATACACAAAGGCAAATGTGATAACCACTCTGTATAATAAATTAGTATTACAAGGGTAGGTTAAGTGTAAGGACAAATTGTTTTTGAACACATAAAGGGGGTTTCAATTTCCGTATGGTCAAGGCTTCAATAAACCTTAGTATACGTCCTTGAAGGCTCTTGTACTACACTACAAATGCTGACTTGATGTCAACCTTTATTTTATTTTATTTTAACACATAGATATTGGTACAAGGAGGCACCAAATACATATGCGCCACATAAATCTCATTTGATATGTGTGAGGGTTGTTATACTGCCCGGGCGCCCAAACCGAAGCAGGTGGTGCTCTTAGGGGGCCACATCCGGAGCCTTCTACCTGAAGGTCTGATCCAAAAGGCAGTGAAGCAACGTAAGGAGATGTAGTGCCATGGTAGCCGGTGACCAACGACTGGTTCATACATCATTAGTTCCCTCAGGGTACTGGAGACCATGTGCACTATTGATTTGGAGTCAGGGTTTTCCAACTCCCCTAGGTGAACTCTCCACGTTCACCAACCCGTTTAAAGCGCCGGACATTCGCTTTTTGTCATCTCAATTTCGTAAACAACACCGGTGCCACGAGAAAGCAGTGAGTAGGGCTTCCCTGGCAGAGGCTTTATACGCTTGGCCATTTGAGGGCATTTCGAGAGGGTGAGAGGACTCTCCTCACTCTCGATCGTACCAGGGCATTTGCAGGCCCTATCTTGTGATGTTATTTGACCATTGCAATCCATTTGTTTCTGCAACCATCTTGATATGTGTTCACCCACCCTCAATGTACGTGTTTCCACACATACATGTAGATTGATAGACACAAAAGGATGTGACATAATCGCTTTCGTGCTGTTTGGGTTTTAGGTCAAATATAGACCTTGGCTTTTTGATAATAACAAGTTGGGCTGCATGTTGAAACGGAAACTTAAATTTGCTATCAACCGGATATTTTATGCAGCTCATAAGTAGAATTAACAGGAAGTGATTTACAAACGGGATCGAATTATAGAATGCAAATTCATAAACTGCTGTCATATAAATGGAAAAAAATTAGTAGATGACTGAAAAGAGATCTCTTTATTGAGCTACTCTTACACTGTATGGTTTAATGGGTATTTTCCATTCAAAATAAATTCGACAACCTCATATGTTGAAAATGGTGAATGTTTGCATGTATTACAACATAAATACTTCAAAATTGTGTTATTTAGAAATTAGAAAGGTCAGAAGGAATCGTAGTAAATTGTCAAGCTATCACTCATATAATAGTAATACAATAGACCGTGTGAATAAAGTGCACAGTATGGGATTTTCATCATCGAAGTAATAATAATAATAATCGGTGAGTATAATATTTAATAAGAGAACTGTTATCAAAGTAATTATGATAAGAAAGAATTCATGTAGATTGGGAAATATAAATGTGTAGATTAAGAAAGATGTAAACTCAAAAGGGATTGGTAGCGAGGGATAATAAGTTTATTATATCTCTCGATCGTACCAGGGCATTTGCAGGCCCTATCTTGTGATGTTATTTGACCATTGCAATCCATTTGTTTCTGCAACCATCTTGTAGGTATCTGGTGATTTAGTCGTGTACCAATGTAAAAATAGAGGCTGAATATACCTCTTCTAGATACATAAGTTTAGTTTCCTGGAGTTGATTCAGATGGCTTCAGCTATATAGAATGGCTGCTCTTTTAGGTAGATTTTTTTGGAACTTGATATAAAACAGAGAAAGCTTCATATCTTTTAATACAGTATTCATCGTCTACCAAGTGAGAAAGGATAGCGCTGTTAATATATTTCGTGACTCCTTTTCCCAACCACTCTGATACGTGTTCACGAACACGTGTGATAAAGCCTGCTGAGTATTGGCTCATGTAACTAGCTCCACAGAAGCAGTTGAACTGGCATTCACACATAGAGAAACCCATCATCGGTAACCTATACTTGATCTGTTGTGTAAGTACTGATTTTTTTGAGATAATAACATATAACTTTGTGGTGTGAAACTTCCTTTCAACAGATCTTTTGAGTTGATATATTAAAATGTGTAATTTTCAGTTTACATAAAACACAATTTTGAAACGTTTATGTCATAACAGATGCGAACATTCACCATTTCTAACATATAACATTGTCATATTCATTAATGCATGTCTTATCTTAAGCTTTGTAAAATATCACAATAATTATGAACTTATAACTGTAGAGCCTGTAAGCAAAGATGGTTAGTGGATGATAGTGGAATCCAAGATTCGCGTTTCGTTCTATATGGGACTCATCAGCTGGATGTATCTCTATTTGCATTGATGTTCACTCTGGGACTCGAACCGAATACCGTTAGCTTAAGTAATTAGGGCAATATCGAGACAATACGCACAGTATGCACATATGCCAATAGATACTGATGAATGGCAGTTCTAAATATCAATGGGAAGATTCAAGCAAATAATACCAAGTGAATGTAGAGACTGATAATGAAGTTTTTGAAAACAATTGTTCACTCAAATATTCTTTGTTTTTGATTATTCTATAGGGTGTTTTCTATTCGTCTGAAAATAAATTTTATCTTGTACATTCAACATTACCTGAGGTAATCAGTGTGGTGTGAGTTACTTATATCCATATAAATAGTATATAACGGTGTTCAGTTATAGAATGTATTTCAGTAGGAGATTGAGAAGGAAAGAACGGTAACAGAATAATTGAAAACCTATTTATTCATACCAACGGTGGTTAACTCCTATCCATTTAGCATAGTTCCTCATTTCTGCCAAATGACTGCTGTTAAACATATAAACAAATAAATAATCACTTGTTAGTCTAAAGGTTAGAAACTAGCCGTAAGATATGTAGGTTCTGAATTCAATCTCCTCAATGCCGTCACAAATACACACTTCTATACTATAACGGAATAGTTATTCGGTGCCTTTTCGTTTCCAGTGAATGTTTAACTAAGATCACTTAGTGATTTAATCCATTAATTCAGCAATCTCCACAAACAGCATACAGTAATTAATAATGCAATGTAATCATTTGAAAAAACTAATTTAGACTGGTAAATGTAATACAGATAAAGATGGACAATTGTCATTACATCGTGAATCCATTTAAATTATAATGACCAAGGTAGATAAGTAACCAAGGCAATTACATCTTTACGTTATTTATTATCTAATATAATAACAGCTGAATTGTTTAATAAACGGAATACACCCACTAAAACATTAAATAAGAAAGATTAGTTCAGCGAAGAGTTCGCTTTTCGGCGAATTCATTTTCAAAGCTGTACAATCGCAAATATATATACTTAGTTTAACAGGATGATAATAATACTGATAATAAACTTCTGTTATACATGGTGACAGTGAGGTTAAATAAACAAAGGAAAAAAAACTTTTAAACAAGGAAAGTTTAATAATCGTTTGATAGTTAATGGCTGAAGTATTCATTGGGTAAGGATGGCTCAGCATGATAAAATAAAATGTTGAAACAGAGATGAAATGTAGTCGGAATGATCATGGAAATAAAAACAAACCAGTTGGGGGGTAGAAGATTTAAAAGGAAGATGGAAGCAGATGGCTGTAAAGGATCAAGAGTATGAAAAAGAGAGAAGAGAAATTTTAATTCATTAAGACCATGGTAGAAGAAGAAGTTGTACCAGTCTCTTCTGTACACACAATTCTGGTTTTTCCAGATGTATGGCTATTGCTTCGGCAATGCGAAGAAGATGCAGTCTAATTGTCTTAGGAAGACCTCTACTTACCTTGTAGATGACTTTGAACGCAGAGTCTGTCTTGATTGAATGACCTGTGTTCACAAGGTGTTCGATTATAAAACTTCTTATTGAGCCGTTGCCTCCTCTTTTTAGCCACGCCGGAGGATTTTCTTGAATTCTTTTGGATAAAGTACGCATCGAACAACCTATATACCTAGCTTCACAAGAACAGGTTTATTTAACTTCACTATCACCATGTATAACAGAAGATTATTATCAGTATTATTATCATCCTGTAAAAATAAGTATATATATTTGCGACTGTACAGCTTTGAAAATGAATTCGCCGAAAAGCGAACTCTTCGATGAACTAATCTTCCTTATTTAACAGATGAATTCACAAGCCAATCTAAGCTAGACCACCATTGAAACCTGGATTCACCGGATAGCTGTTTCGTTCTAGTATGGAACGCCTCAACAGTGTGCACCAATGATCTCGCATTTGGGACTCAAACTCAGGATTGTCAGCCTTAAGCGCAAACGCTTAACCTTCAGACCACTAAACCAACACCTATTGGAGTTCATATTTAGCTTCAATTCATTCATGATCTAATATTGAATTTATTATTCATTTCTAATTATTTTTAACCAAAAATGAATTATCTTTTCTTTTATTCATCTATTTAGTTACAGACTCAGGTTTAAATAAATTATCATTACAAGATCCTTCATCAATTATTGATGGACAGCATACATTTTTCGAAGTATATCCAGGTAAAACTATATCACAATTTGTTCCACCATGTCCTAAAATTATCCGATTCTGTGATAAAACTTTAGGTATATTAAAATTACCCAAAAATCATGGTTCTGATAGAGATTTTTATATACGTTATCCACGTCTTATTATACGTATGGTTATTGCATCACCAAATTTAAAACCAGATTTATTGGATACAATTAAAACACGTCGTGATTTAACATACTTTAATAATAATAATAATAATAATAATAATAATAATAATAATAATAATAATGATTCTAGAAATTCCAGTCATAATAATTCATTGGAAAAGAACAATCTGAAATATTCATCAACGATCTTACATCATCATCATCGTCGTCGTCATCGTTATCTTCGTCAAACAGTAAACATCATGAATAAAATCGATGAAAAATTACAAGAATATATGCCTAAATTTGTTTTTATATTAACAAGTTTAAAACAAAAATCAATGGATGGTTAGTTGAATGAATTTTAAATGAAAATCATTCAATGTTCAATATTATTTTATTGATTTATTGATTTAATTTGATGATTGAATATATGTTTTTAAAGATTTGTTTTACACATTAGAAGCAGAATACAGTATATAACAGTTTAACTTTAGTTTATTTCACCATGATTATAGATGTACTTTGAGTATGAGAGTAAGTCATTGATCATGAATGTCTAGTAACTGCTATGAATATACTGTGGAACTGAATCTTGAGTAATGAAGAAGTAGGAATTAGTTTTTAAGGTAGGTATGGACTATCGATTGATAAGCTTAAATATATTTATTGACTTGATTTAATGTAGACATGTACAACATAGGATGCACATACACTGAGGATTCGGACCCAGGACCTTTGGTCTCACGCGCTAAGGTGCTTTTAGGTTTTCTATGGTGGTGTAGCATTAATGGACCCATGAATTCAACTGTCAGAGTATTTTACATTTGAAGTAGTTTGTTACTAATGAGTAGTGTAACGACGAACAGTGTCAATAGTGTAATATATAAAATGAAGGAATTAACACTGAGATAATAGTGACCTTATTTCTTACAGTATTTAGTGTATGATAGTCATGTTCATGGATAATTTTTCTAAAATTAATTTATCAGCAAATATTCGAGCAAATGACATTACAAACTTTCAAGATTTTCATCGAGACAATAAGTTTACTGTTATTTCCTTGTTATATCATCCTGAAAGTTTTCCTGGTATTCTCTGAAACATTTGATCCATTTAGAAAGAGATTATTAATCCAAATACAAATTCTTTATAATCAGCTTTCAAGATGTCATAAACTTCTGAAGAATTTCCTAATCTCATCAAAGATTTGATGTTGAGTCGTCAGGTATTTATTAGACAAACGATATACATATTATGTTCATTTGTATAGTGATTTCATATTTTTAATCATGGATTTCAATTTGTCTATGAGTTTCATGTTAACATTTGATCACTTCTTACAAGATCCAAGTGAAAAGACCAAGATTTCTTTCATTATAGTTTTATGATTTCAAAAAATCAGTGAAAAGAATAAAATATACAAGATGTATACCTCATCATGTACTTTATCACAAATCAATATTTTAAACCTGATAAAACTTACTTCATATCCTCTTACCATTTTGAGCTTCTCATTTACAGATTTCCTCAATGAAATCCAAAATCTACCATTACAAATAGTATCATACTTTACATTTATTCACGATGAAATTTTTATATGCAATTTTTTATCCTCTAGATAATAGAACAGATTGAAGTTAGTGTGAGTTCGTGATCTTCTCTGTCAAACTATTGATCTTTCATTTACGTCAAGCTTATATACTCTAATTGTCTATAAAGATTATTAAATTATTGAGACCACCATAATGTGATGACTTTATGTCCGGCTAGTTATCACGTGATTTATCCACTAATCAAAATACGACTTATACAATCTTAGCATTGGGACAAAACCAATGACTTCCGTCCGGTATGAGCAGTCTAGCGTCTTATTTGGTTCTATGTCCGCCTAGCCCGTCCACTTGAGTTCAGAACACCAAATACTAACTTCTAATATGCGAATCGAATCGAATCATTTATTTCAGACATACTGGGTTTATATATCAACCAAACAGACTGCAACGCACCAATAAGTAACTGTGAACGAGGGAGGCAGTAGTCGATAAACTGAACATAGGTTAAGAACTGTAAATCGTACAATAATAAATTATAGGTCAAAACAAAGCTTATAATAGGGGGAATATACATATTCATACTCTAATTGTTGAATAGTAATACCATAAAAACATATAGATAATATTAGTCAATTAATATGTCTCAGAAGTTACTCGTGATTTAACCTTCACTCGGATATATCACATAATAAAAATCACTTTAAGCATTTATACTCAAAATGTACATTGTATGATTGAAATGCTTGTTTTAAATTTCCTATACTTATAACTATGTAAAGAATATGAATAGCCATTTTGTTTGTTATTTCAACAATGAAACCAAAGAAAACTTCTTACTCAAGAATTGGGAACTTTAAACATGATTTAATCATTGTTCAGTTCATCGAATCGGTTTTATACAGATTACCTAATGGTTTATGAAATTAGCCAATATTTATGTAGTTACTTTACAAAACATTCAATTATGTTAATGAAACGCGTTTGTACAATGTAACATGACTTCTTATCATAATACTCTGGTTACTGTTCAATTTATTTTTATAGGTAAACCATGTGTCAAAGATTGGGAAGCATGTGATTCAGAAGTTTGTATACCAAAACATTTATGGTGTGATGATATAATTAATTGTCCTCAGTGGCAAGATGAAGGAGGTCACTGTACACGGTCAAGTAAGCTACATTTATTTACTTATCTGTATACATCAGACAATCATATTATTTTGAGTTTTATTAAGTTAAATCAAGACAATAAATATCCCCTGAACATCCAGTTTATGTTGTATGCATAACTAATAAAATCACTTCAATTTCATTAACTTTTGAATAGTTAAGTTTTTTAAGTACAACGTGAAGATGCCACAAGTATTTGGACTTTGACAACACCTTAACCAGTATTACCTTCTATAATCGAAACGTACCAACCCAGTGAAATCAGAAGTCAGAGATAAAGAGGTTCGATGATGTATTTGATAAGCTGTCGATATATCGAGAAGCGAGTGATATAATTTGGCTAGCGGTTGTAAGAGAAGTTAAGCACAGAGTACCCACTCGTGCTCTGATGTGGTGGATGCGTGACTGAGCGCCTTTAGCTAGATGAGTCCATTAAAATTAATATGGTCAGCGTCAAATGTCGAAGAATTGCAGTGCTATTGAATTTGGAGATTTATTTACTACTATGAACGGTACACACATTTTTATATTTTTGACATTAATTTTCACCTATTCTCATTGTTAACAGCTGGACAGTGATTGACAATAGATAAAACACTGTTGGTTGTATAACTGTATCCATTCTTAAATACAATAGATCTTATGTTGGTTCCATTATTATTAAGTTAGTTGATTAAATTCAAATTCTTAGAATTTTCCAAGCTTAAATATGTTTAATTCATCCGAAATGTTGTTCTTTGTTACAGACATTCATTATTAAACTACTTAGATTTGGATTAATAAGTAATATATATATATAAGTAATATATATATAACATTTGATCACTTCTTACAAGATCCAAGTGAAAAGACCAAGATTTCTTTCATTATAGTTTTATTATTTCAAAAAATCAGTGAAAAGAATAAAATATACAAGATGTATACCTCATCATGTACTTTATCACAAATCAATATTTTAAACCTGATAAAACTTACTTCATATCCTCTTACCATATATAAGTAATATATATATATATTTATATATATATATATATATAAATTACAGAGATACCCGGTAAAATAGAAGAACCATATAGTAAATTCCTAATTTGCAAAATATTAATCCATCAGATCAAACAGGACTGTTCCTGTTGCAAACATCAATCCATTGTCTCACATTTCATTGTCCATGCGTTTTCTTACAAATTTCATTGTGTTTCCGCTCTTCTTTTCTTGATCTTCTCCCATCTTTTGCTGCCAGACATTACGTTTTTAACTCGCGTCATATACTACTTATATCAATATAAGTAGCACACACCACACTACATTTGAAATTTTGAAGGATACTTATAGCTTAGGAAGATGATTTTTGAAAATTGCATTCTTTGAGTTCACAAGCCAGAAAAAAATTATTCATCATCATCATCATCTACATGACACATCAAATGGCAGTCAAACTGAACAACTGATCTTTACTCAAATAGATAATTCCGAACTTATGTTTGACTAAGTAGATGGTTTAATCTTAAAGAAAAGAAACATAAAGTAGACTAGAGATTTTCTAGAAAATTACGATTCAATACCCTCAACAGCCAGTAAAAACGTTGAAATACAGTCAATTAATCTTAAACGTTTATGAGTTGTTAAAATAGGTGAAAAGGCATGGTGATAAAAATAAATATTCAAACAATGACAGAAAAAGTTGAAGAAATTATAATTTACGGACGAGCCATTCAGGTGCAAATGCGCGATTTCAAAGTTACAGTGCCTATTTTAAAACTCAATGTTCACATACGATAGGTCTACAGAGGATTTTAAGGAGGACGTTGTCTTAAAAGGGCCTTAACAAATGGAATTACTGAGAAGTTATCTTATATTTGATTGCAGTGTTCAAATGACTGCTGGATATTTTGTAGACTGTTGTGGTGATGTTGTATTTCGATGTAATATATGTTGATGGAGAAAGTTTGCTAGGACAGGGACTTTTTTTCGCTCTTTCGCGATTATGATAATTGTTGTAAACTGGGTAATAAAAGCACCAGTAACACTGGCTACAACCTTTGCAGATGTTATTGAAGCTTTGACAGTTCAGTGGCATTAGTATTGTTGAGATATATGTGCAATAAGAATGACAAGCTTGCATCCATAATTTGGAGGTATCGGGAGAACTGTAAAAATCGACGATATAGTCGTTAGAAAACGCTAATTCAATGGAGGAAGAATTTTTAAAAAAAACTGGGTAAGTAGCACTTCCAGAAGTATACTTAGAAGGTCCTTGGTATGTATGATACGTCATCTCAAAAGAGAAACTTACAGAGCGTGAGAAACCAACAGGCTACAACGATAATACAAACTATACGAGAGTATGTTCATCCGTGTACCACAATGTACACGAATGACTGGAGAGCACATCGATGCCTATCTATACTTGGCTACATGCATCGTATCGTCGTTCACGAGTGACATTTTGTAGATCATATCACAGGAGTACACACCAATAATACAGAAACAATGTGATCAAAGCTAAAAGAATATATATAATCATGGACTTAAATCTCCTTGGTGAGTAACGGAATTAAAATAAGTCAAATACGAGAATAGATGGTTGAATATGTATATTTTGTATATTCATCGATCTGGACAGACAATAAGAGGAACGAGAGCGAAGAGAAATGACGTGCGATGGAGAAGGAGTGTGAGCCAACTCCATTTAATCAAGCGTTAATCAATATTTATAGCCGAACAAAAAATAAGTTACAGACATCTGATGAAATGGGACGAAAAGTGCACACTCACACACATATATAAAAACAGTCAAGATTGATAAGTGAATAACTGGTGAGGTCAAAATGTGACTCAAGAGGAATGAATAGATTGACCTGTCTGGAAGCTAGAATAGGCTGTGTGGGCTCGATATAGTACCAGGTACTAACACCTTCATTGTTTATTTATTTAAAACTTACACTTATGTCAAAGCAGTTCCTGTCTTTAATTGAATTAATATAATCGAATGAACTATTAGAAACACCTCCTCAACACTGGGAACCTATGACCATACTGAATGGGAACTAAAGACGGGAACCATTGTTAGATTTTGCTGTGATCTCTGAGCCGGATGGTTTGTTTGTGAAACTTTCAATGTTCATCTGAACAACATCGTCAGTATGAACTTCATTCTGAATTAAGTACTAATGATGTTGTTCAGTAGCAATACAATGAAAGGTTCACATCCAAACCATCCAGCTAAGAGATCACAACAGCCCCAACATCCTCATCTTGAGCCACAAATATATTTTCTATCATATTGGAAATGGAAGCATTCTTGAAAAAAGCATATTTTCACCAATATGATTCCAATTCTTCAACGAAACCTTTCTTTTATTGACTTTATATACAGGCTTACATCCAAATGTATTAGGTCCTGACGGTCAACTAATACCAGATACTAGTAAAAGTGTATTTGAATTAAGAAAGGAACAAGAGCAACTTGAAGCGGAAGCAGAACGTTTGGCTGCTCAAAAATTACATTTGTCTATATTGGCCACTTTAGGTTTAATATTGTTGATTGTCACATCCACATGTATATGTAAGTTGTATTGTTATTATTATTGCTGATGGTGATTGTATCATGTTCAAAGAAAAAGCATTTTTATAATTTAGTTTAGGGATTTTGCAGAAATTAGTTTAGTTTGTATATTTTATGCGTTTCAGGTTGATTAAGCTTTCGCTAGAATGCTTGAAGATCCTAAGTTTGGTCTCCTGGTAGGATCGTGGATGGTTATCTCCAAAACGTCCAGTACTAGGATGAGAGAAACGTCTAGTGCCTCGTGTTTTCCAGTTGTACCCCGAGCTAAGATCAGTTTGCGACATGTATAACGCATAAGTGAAATCAACATTCGCAAAATGTCTTCAGACATAAGCGACTTTAAGATATTCCTGAAGTTCTAGTCATAAAACATGACTGATGGAGTCTATGCATACTATAAATCAAAAAAATCATTTAAGTAGTTGAAATCATGAGTCAACTAAAGCTAGACCACTATGGAAAATCTAGAAGCACTGGATGGCCGTTCCTTTCTACTGCGAAACCAGGCAGCAGTGCGCAATCACGAACTCATCTCACAGGATTTGAACGTAGAACCTATCTGTCTCACGCGCGAGCTCATAACCACTATACCACTGAGCCGGCCGGCATCCAACGGTGTTAATGTCTAACTTTAACTAATCCGTGAAATTGAGCAACACATTCACCACTGTCATCTCACAACAGACTCGGTTGAAAAAAGATTTAGATGATCATATCACTGTATCACCGATTGATTGAGTTTGGAAACTGAGTAGTTCTAAAACCTATACATTTGTCATAAGAACTTGAATTTTTGAGTTAGATACTTGATGAGATCGTGAGTTAGTACTCTTGAGGAAGACATTTCATATCTGACTGTCAACAATTTACAATATAAGTTTTAAATCATGAAGACTATTTTCTATGGAATCTGTTTATGAATGTTTCAATAAACAGACTGACTAATAACAATTATAAATCTTAATTTTCTCACAATTTCACCATAAATTCTAATCCATTTAATGCGTTTATCTTTTTTTAAAGTTATGACTATACGTCGTCGTCGACGTGAAACAGCACGACAAATGATCAAATCTAAAGAAGATGAACAAACGATACAATCAAGTAAATTTGATGATAGACGTCTAAAAAGATTAAATCATGTTATGTCTACTGGTGCACTACTAGAAGGAAATAATCATTTGAAAAAGGATAATAATAATAATAACTATAAAAAGAAACCAATATTCACTTTATCTAATTCAAGTTTAACACAAGAGATTCAATATTTAAATAACGCTACTAATAATAGTAATAACAATAACAATAATCAATCAATAATGATGCATGAATTGAAATCTATGAAAAAATCTGGCAGTCGTAATACTACAATGATTTGGAATAGTACTGATAGTATTAATGCACCATTGCTATGGCAACGTAATGTTGAAAATATGAAATCATCATCATCACCAGGTCAAATGAATTCAAATAAAAATCTTATTAAATATTCATTCATTAAAACTAAAGGTAACAATAATAATAATAATAATAATAGCGGAAAATTATCAAATAAAAAGTTTACTCCTATTAAACAATGTTCAACTGAGAAAGAACCTATTGAATGTGTTCAATTTCAAAATTTTAATAATAACAATAATACTACTAATAATATTAAGAGTAGTATTGTTAGTGTAAATAGTTCAATGAATGAACCAATTAATTTACCTAATACAACAATGAATTCAATCAGGACAATGACAAATATTTTACGTGATAAATCAACTCAACCAACATCATTAACACATACTTATGGATCCTATCCAATTACAACTTTTGAACAAACTGATGTTTATGAAAGGAATAAGCATAATTTAAATACATTTGTACAAAAACGAATTATTGAACAACAACAACAACAACAACAAGAACAATCTAAAAGAAGTGGAAATAAAACAGGTAGGAGAAGTTGCTTAGTAATCATAAACATTTTGTTTTTGTTAAAACTATCAAATAAACTAAAATGAAACACGGAGTAAAGATTTGTAGAGATTGTAGTAACTTGAACAGTTGAATTCATGAGTCAATCTAAGCTAGAACACTATTGAAAGCACTGGACAATCGTTTTGTAATAGTGTAGAACTGGTGAGCGACGTCCAACCGCGATCTCGTACATGGAACTAAATCTCAGGACCTTCGGACTTATACGCGAACGCTTAGTCTCTAAACCACTGAGCTGGCATCCAGTAGTATTAATGTCTAACTTCAATCGATCCATGATTTTCCACAGATTTTCAGCCATTATTTGAGCTGGATAACTGTCTCACACCCAACACGGATTGGACTCTACTGGTAACAGCTTCTCATTAGAGCTCTAGAAAATTTGTTCTAAGGCTAGTCACTAGTGAATAGCGTCCGGAGTTCGAGCCCCTTTGTTGCGAGATCGCGGATGCGCACTGTCGGAGAGTCTCATACTAGGATGAAACGGTTGTCCAGTGTTTCTAGGTTTTCAATGGTGGTCTGTCCTGGATCGACTTATGAATTCAACAGTTGAACGTAATTGAATTGTTATTTTTGATCAGACTTTTGATTAGTAGTTGATTGTAGACAGATATATCCAGATAAACTAAACATATGACTTTTTATTTTGCAAACTTTATCGGAGTTTTAATACCACTTTAACTGCACTTTCTATTTCGTTAAATTTATTTCTTCTTCAAATGGCAAGACAATTAACTTGAAGGTAATAGGTAACCATGTGTCATTATCCCTAGATCTAGAGTCTACTGTTAGTGTATCGAATGTGAAGTGAGATAAGGATGACAAATCCATTATTGAATAACCTGGTAAACTATGAAAACCATACATTGAATACTTCATTTGCAACTTTCTATTATTTGTCCTTCACATTCTATATGATACTTCCAAGTCACAATTTTTTTTCTATTTCCGTTTCTGTTTTCTTCAATTCGATCTTTATAAACTTCTGTTGGCAGGTTTTCTACTTCTGATTGGTGTTGCATACTATTTATGTCAACAGATATAAGTAAGACACATCACATCAGTTGACTGAACAATGAAATTGTTTCTTCTTCAGTATACCATAGACAATAACGGATAATTAGTTGTTTATGAAAAGAGGATTTAGAAATATAGATCATTAGATTTTAACTCAATCCTATGAAGATTTTGTTTTGCTTATGAGGTTTGAATACCCTTGGTATTCAATTCTAGGTTGATGCTTAAAACTTCGGAGTTATAGATTAAAAGAACCAGTGCTTTATGAAACGATCTTCAGACCTAATATAGATATCATTCATGAAACACACTATTAATGGAATACATTTATTGGAATTTAAAGCAAATCTAGTTTGATCAACAACATGTAGGCATTCAAATTATTACCTAACCTTTTATTCTCATTATTACTAAATCATATCCCCCTAAGTGATTGCATTCTAGACTTGACTGATAGGTGTACATAATCTAGCATTAATTCTGCATTAAAAATCTATCTTCAAAGTTTAACATGATGATAATAGATTTATATATGACTTGATTATTTTGACATTGTCTAAGCAGTACAACATTTAAGATAATTTGATAGTATTTTTCCACATGAAATAATGCCAACTGGAACATTATGTTTTATTCTACAGTTACATTTAGTTACAATTTGCACGTGCTAATGTACACCAACTCATGATCCAATTAGGAAGACAATTAAGTGGTGATGTTTGGTTAGTAAATCAACTTGTAGTATAAATAAATCAGTAAGATTACAATTAACGGATAACCTTTGAGTGATGGTAAATTGATCTTGAGAATATTCACCTGTTTATTAGGGTTAAAAGAAGGTTACAAATTAATATGAGGACCTAATGTTAGGATTTATAGTTAGGCATTAGGGTTTTCATCACAAACTATTTAGTCATATGTATCAATGAATTTCACGTCAAAAACCAAGACTTTTTATCTTAAATCTCATTAGTTCGTTCATTAATTATAGTCTTGTCAATAAATCATAGGGTCTTATACTATTATGCTTCTAAGACAGATAAAGACATCTAGGCGGAGACTTTGATTATAAGTCAATATAGTGACTAGTTCATAATTTCTCACTTCCCGTTTGAACTTGAGGTGGTTGTGAGCACAAGTGAGTGACATGTCTATACTCAAATAGCCTATTATATCATAACAATACAACAGAAGGTTGAACAACTGTTTGAATTTCACTAAAAACTTATAATAAACGAAATTCAATATACATATATAGAAAATAACTATGAACTCTCTGAGGTCCAGATTTTATGTGTAATTGTTAATAGTCTAGTTCAGAAAGTGATGGAAAAAAGTTAGAGGTATTAAAGTAACTTATCAATTGGTAAGTATCACAGATTAGGATCTGAAAACACTGAACAGTGAGTTGTACCTTTATAATGAATATTCAGTCTGTTGTGTCTTTATGGCCCACTAGTTATCACTTAATGTATTTGCCAATCAAAATACGACTTATTCACCTTTATACTGTACTACATACCTAGGAAGCATCATCGATGAACAAGGTGGTTCAGATGCAGACGTAAAGGCGAGGATCGGCAAAGCAAGGGTCGCATTCCTACAATTGAAGAACATATGGAACTCAAAACAACTTTCAACCAATATCAAAGTGAGAATCTTCAATACGAACGTCAAGGCAGTTCTACTGTATGGAGCTGAAACTTGGAGAACTACAACAACCACCATCAAGAAGGTACAAGTATTTATAAATAGCTGCCTACGCAAGATACTCAACATCCACTGGACGGATACCATCAGCAATAGCCTTCTGTGGGAGAGAACAAAGCAACTTCCAGCTGAAGAAGAAATTAGGAAAAGACGATGGAAATGGATAGGACATACATTACGCAAACCGTCAAACTGCATCACGAGGCAAGCCCTAACTTGGAACCCTGAAGGGAGGCGAAAAAGAGGAAGGCCAAAGAACACATTGCGTCGGATTATAGAAGCAGATATGAAAAGGATGAATTACAACTGGACGGAGCTAGAAAGGATTGCCCAGGACAGGGTTGGATGGAGAATGCTGGTGAGTGGCCTATGCTCCTTCACGAGGAGTAACAGGCGTAAGTAAGTAAGTAAGTAAGTAAGTACTGTACTAAACCAATGAAGTTCATTCGATCTGATCAGTATATCGTCCTATTGGCCCTGTTGTTCTCCTAGCCCGTCCAGTTGAATCCAGAATGCCAACAACAGCCTCCACTATGTGAATCATTTATTTCAGACATACTGGATTTATATATCAATCAAACAGACCACAACGCACCATAAAATAGGAAATAACATTTACACACAATAAAGCCGAAAAGTTGCTGTGAACATGGGAGACGGTAATCAAATAACTGAGTACAACTTAAGAATAGTAAATCGTACAATAACAATCTATAAGTCAAAATGAAGCTTATAATAAGGGGAATATAGATATATACTATCTAGCTACAGAATAGTTAAACAATAAGAATATACAGATTACATTAGTCCATTAGTAGGTCTCCGAAGATACCCGTAATTTAATAATCCAGAAAATAAAAGTAAACATTCTATATAATCACTCCTTGATTTTCATTTGCTATTTACAACATGATATAGTTACCGAGTATCCTTTAATTTTTCATGCTCATAACAATAACGTACTATGTTGTAATGTAAGTTTGTTCATGATTAAAAACCTCTTCTTTTTTCTTTCTTTCCTTCTGAATAGAATCACATTCTGTATTGTCTAGTCCACAGAATCGTGGAAATTGGATTGCAACTAATATTTATCCTAAAATAGATAAAGAATTACCTATATTAACTAATACACATTTATCACCAACTGATCATGATTTGAAACAAAGAATACCTAATATAAACAATACCATTAATCGTACACAATCATGGGGTGGTGGTCTACGTTATAATAATAATAATGTATATATATATTGTCAACAAGATAATCAATCACCATCCATGTATAAAATACAAAATTTACCTCATTTCAAACCATCACAACTATCATCTATACCAAAATGTCAATTATATTCTATTAGTAATAGTCAAGATCATTTATATCGTATAAAAAGATCTGATACATATGTCAGTATGCCTGATGTTAATGGATTACATAATAATAATGAATTATTAAACAATCAACTAACAAATTATCATCATAAAATGTTAAGTAATGCTAAACAAATTATTCCTATCACATCGACAACATTAACCAGTGGAGTTGGATTATTCAATATTGTTACATGTTCAACAACTTGTACAGGACAATTAATTACATCATCTAAAGATTATCGACCACCACAAGCTAAACGTCCACGTATTATCAATTCGTTCATATCATCCAATGTTACATCAAATAATGATAATAATAATAATAACAACAATGTTGTTAGTAATATGAATAAATTATCTAGACATGCAACTCCTATACATAATGAGAATAATTTTAATAACACAGTAACATCACATCTTACTACTACTACGATTACTATTACTACTACTACTACTACTAATAGTAGTAGTAGTAGTGATAAGGGTAGTATTAGTAGTAATCCTTATAGTGGCAGTGAACGTTCACATGTACTTTTAAATCCTAACTATCAACACTTACATCATCAGCATCATCATTCACAGTCACCACATCATCATCATCATCACCATCATCAAATTCTTTATCCATCAGTTGGGATACAGAATGTTTTATTGACTGATGACAAGTTGTCATGTAATAAACGAATTTATGGTTTAAATGATTTTCAAAAAAATATGTTAATGTATGGATCGAACACTTCAACAGTTGATAATATTCGTACAAATATAGAAAGATATAAATATCACAAAGAGAATAATGATGACGATGAAGAAGAAGAAGAGGATGAAGGATCCACTGAGGAAAGAGAAGGTGATTGTGAGAAAACAAAAAAATCAAGAAGAACTAATCTTATCGTAGCTACTGACCATGTGGATGATGATGATAACGGAGACGAAACAACTTTGTCCAGGACAGATTCGAAAAATAGTTTAGAGTTGTTAAAGGGAGAGGATGAAACAGATATGGAAAACTCAGAAAGTAGGTTTGGTTTAGCATTTACTATCAAATTGATCACACAGTAGGACCAAATAGATAGTGATTTCTGATTACCAGTAAATTTTGTTAATTAGATAGTCAAAATGTTGTGTGCAAAACTTGTTTTCTACTAAACGTGATCAACATCAACTAGTTTTTTATTATCGCCATCATGGTATACCGTTTGTGGTTTCTTGTTGTTGATATTCAAGACTGGATTTCATCAATACTTGGTAACATTCGACGTCTTTTGGACATAGAATTTAGTACTGTCTGGATTTACACGTTAATTAGAATTTTAATAATGAACTCCATCAGGACAAAGAACTCAAGCAACTGGTTACAAATAGCATAAATCCATCGTGTAAAATACGAACTAGCCTTAGTTTGATAGTCATCAGAAGCCATAAATCACTAGACAGCTGCTTCATCTTAGTATAAGACAAACTTAGTAATACTCATACACTACCCTCGGGCGGATCGAACCTACGATTTTCAGGCCTCTTGATAAGTGCCTCACCTTCATATTTGGCGGTTTGTACATTTGACATTGGTCGATTTTTTACGTTGCTCAGTCATCTTCCAAAACCATTGCTTAGTAGCTGCCTCACACTCAATATAGATAAACTCTACTTAGCACGAATTCTTTGTAGAACTCTGGAAAGGGTCCCGTAACATGGTTGAAACTGCTATTTAGTGCTTTCTGATTTCCAATCATCATTTATCTGAGGTCAGTTCTTGATATGAATTACGAAACAGAACAGTCTTCAGAAACCCTTTACACACAAATGTTTCAAACCTGTTGAAAAGGTAGGTATTTAGGTAGAGTCTCTTAGTTTCCCATTAAGTAGTACACTGAGGTTTGAAAAGTAGAGTTTTATTTTCAGGTAAAATCGGAGGTATTGACATTGGAATACAAACACATTGAACTTGATGTTTGTTTCAAATCCCACTGCCAACCACTGTCTTATATTTATATCAAAGATCTGTAAAAAACGAAAGAAATGTATCAGTTCTTTCAATGCTTAATCAAGGACAATAATCTCCAGTAATTTATTAGCGTAACTCGTTCCTTAAAATAGAAATGTGTAACGAAGCTAAATATCCTAATTCATATTGAATATTCTATTCATTTTATTAAATTTTAGATTCACCAGTCAATAATTCAACTTCCATATCTGAAACAGATACATCGCAAAATGCTTGTAGTACACATGAAGAACCAATCAAGATTACAGTTTATCAATCTGAACCTTACGGACATCGAACTATTAGCCATTCATCATTATCACCGACAAAATCAATTTCTCCACATTCTTCTCCAAAGCATCAACAACAACATCATCGTCATCATCATCATCATCATCAATATAAACCAAAATATGTAACTGATAGAGACAAAAGTATTCATTTACAAATTAGATCAGATGATCAAAATATTTCTGAGACATCATCTGATTTAATCTATGAATATGAAGCCTAAAAAAACGAATATAAAAGTGCCTAATACATATACATACATATATTATTTCGATATACCTTCATAAACATTTGAAAGCACTTAATAGACCTTCTGAGAATAGTGCATTTCTATGCCTTAATGATAGAGTTACTACTATTACGACTATTATTATTATTCTCATTATTAATCAAATGAATAATAGTGATTCCCCAATCAAATCTCTATCACATGATATAAATATTTTTATTCAATACAACTGATTATGTAACCGAGTGTGTTCGTCCCATGGTAACAAAAAAAAAGAAAAGAAGAAAGACAAAACATACTTACATATGCTTAAACCAATAAAAAATAAACAACTTTGGTAATGAGAATATTAATCATTTTAAAACACTAATTCCCCCTCTTCCCCGCTGAAAAACAAACAAACAAGCAAATCAATTATTTTTATTTTATTTAGGTTTTTGTTTCAAAACAAAAATAAACAAAATCTCATTAGAAATAGTAAAACGATTACAAAGTAGGATAGATTAAAATATACAAAAAAAAATAACATTTTGTTTTTCATAACCATTTTTAGAAGATTTCTTGGTATGTCATTGACATCGCTTTCTCTTTTTGTATTGTTTCCATGATAACCTGTTTACTACTTCTTCTTTTCTTTTTATTGGTTGGTTGGTCAAACTGTACACTGATTATTGTAATTTGACACATAAAACACCCCACCATTCTCACCTAAACCTCTTCTAATTATGCATACAAATCTTTACAAAATAGATAGATTCAAATTAATACCAATGGGAAATCAGTAAATCAGAATAAAGATGGTGTATAATTGTTGTGCGTGTGTGCACATATTTGTGTAGAGGCAGATTAAAAATAAGAAATAAATCCTGGTGACAATTACTTTCTTGAAATTAATTATCATATAGTTAAGATAGTAGTCATCAATATTAGACACCAATTATCATTTGACAGATTTATTTTTTATGGTCAGAATGGGGTTTGTGAAAATTGTAGTGACTTTCAGATAGTGGAGAAGATTTGTAGCTTAGATGGATGATTTTATTCTCTGAGCTGGATGTTTTAGTTGTGGAACTTTTATCGTTCTTCTGAACGACATCATCAGCACAAACTTCAGATAGAAGTGAAATGTTCGAATTTCTCTACATGTGGTTCACAGCTTGTCCTGTGAACTTCGAAGTTGATTGGTTCTTGTTGACCTTAAACCTGTCATTGTTTATTTCTTTGTTTTGGTTGAATCTCCCATTTGTTTGATTTTTGTCCCTATGTTTGTGAATAATTTTCCTGATTGGCTGATAAATTTTAATAGTTAAATTCATGAGTCGATGCAAGCTGGACCACTACCGAAAATCTGGAAGCACTAGAGTTCTAGTGAGAAGCTGTGACCAGTGGAGTTCAATTCGTGTCGAGTAGAGACAAGTATTTACCTCAGACAATGGATAAATGGTTGCGCAACCATTCATGAGTGGATTGAAGTTAGACATTAACAACTTTGGATGCTGGCCCAGTGATCTAGAGGCTAAGTGTTCGCGCGTAAGTCCAAAGATCTTGAGTTTGAGTCTCGCATGCGGGATCATGGATGTGCACTGCCGATTCTCATAACCTGATGAAACGTTTGTCCATTGCTTTTAGGTTTTCAATGGTGGTCTAGCTTAGATCAACTCATGAATTCAACTTTTCAAGATCTATTTTTATTTATTTTGACGAAAGTACTAATCGTAGTAGACTTTGAGTCATGAATCAACTAACTATTGGTATCAATAATAATAGTAGTATTACTAGTAGCAGTAATAGCATTGACAACAAGATATGAATCATAAAAAGTCAGTTAGAAGTAAGATGATTAGATAAACCGATTATTGTTTTTTGTTTGAGACGTAAAATGTCGTCTTTTTATTTAGTACTTGTTTCATATTCTTTTCCACATTCTCTTGGCTAACAAGTCTTTCCCTATTCATTCTCCGTTATTTGTTTAACAATTAATAGAAACATAGAATTTGATATGTTAAACGAGAAAGAACCGAACCATAATGACGAAGCGAGATTAGTCTAAATGAAAATAACTAAACTATATGAGAAGGAAGGATTTTTCGGTGGTTTTTTCAGGAACTTAAGATATAATTCTGAAAACAAACAAGCCAAACAAATGGAAAGTAAGACAGACATTTTTTTACAATGAAACCACACTTTTTTGATTGGCTATGTACATGTGTGTGTATGTGAATAGACATAAATCATGGTTATATTATACATGAACCGAATTGAACTATCGATTAACAATGAGTAAAGAGATAACTTTTGAGATAAGATGGTGGTTAGAGATAGTCAACAGGAGACCCTGGATCCAGGTTTCGTGCTACTTGGATTCGATCCCGTGTCACCCAGCTTGTAAATACATTTCAGTCCTACAGGTACTCAGTAGCGGCCTGGATAGCCCAGTGCTAATGTATCTGACTGTGAAGCTGGGTAGATCGGTCAGGGAGCATCAGTTCCCTCAAAATTACAGGTACACTTTGCTGACGAGTGCCAAATAGCACGGAACCTGGGTCCAGAGTTTTCCTTTGACTATCTCCAACCGCCATCATATCTCAATATAGTGCATGCAATGTCGAGTCACCTAGACTGACGGCCACATTGCAACTTGGTCGACAAGGATTCGATCTGCACTAAGAAGGACCTAATATACATGACGTTGATCAGCACCTAATGAAATCTAACAAAAGACTAATAGTAGTTCAAAAGTTGACAGAATTTTTATAATGACGTTAAAAAGAGTTTAATCAATCAGAAAACGTGAAAAATAAATGGTCGACCTTTTTAAAAATGAAAGAATTTATATAATCTTTATGAAGTTGACTACAGTTTCGCCTGTTGTACTATCGAAAAATCCTTTGATAAAGATGTTTATCTATATAACATCGATTGTATCGTTCTTTGAGAGTACTTGAATTATTACAAACAATACACCAGATCATGTTAAATGCCTTTCATATTTTAATTGTATAATCTTACTATAACTATTAGAATTATAGAGGAAATTAATAATTTTGTAAACAATGATGGATAGTGGCTAGCAGTGGGATCCAGGACGCGCGTTTCGTCCTATTTGGGACTCGTCAGCTGGATGCACCTGCATCTCAGAGTTGATGTTCACTCTGGGACTCGAACCCAGTATCATTCGCTCCAGACGCCAACGCGTTATCCGCCCAGCTACTGAGTCCTCATAGCCGCTTGCTTGTGCAATGGTGTGAATTTCAATTCACTTGGTATTATTTGACTTGTATCTTCCCGTTGAGGTTTATTATTATTAATGGCTTTATTCAAGACTGCAATTGATCAGTCTGTTATTGGCATAAGTGCATACGGTGTCTCGATATTGCCTTAATTCACAAGCTATTTGTAAGCAATGATGGACGAAACGCGCGTCCTGGATTCCACTGCTGGCCACTAACCATCATCGTGAAATTAATAATTGCTACACAAAGCTATACACTATGAAATCCGATTGTTCAAAGATAAGCTGCAAAATTCGTTCTTACATATTTATCAAGGCAGCTATGGGAAGTAATTTGGATCCTATCGCTCAGGGCATTATAAGAAGCATTACTCCTTCACGTCTTGACTGTAGACGAGAAAAAAGACTTTTTTCCTTGGTACTTTTTTTCATAAATAGATAGCACAATGAAACTTCACTTCATTCCATAGTGTTTTGCATTTTCTTACAACCTGTTAACATTCACAATCACACGTCAGCGAATTCCTCAATAACCTAATGTTAAGTAATAAGATTAATAAGTATTTTTCACTAAAATTAGTGATCTGGCTGATAAAGTGCCCCGTAACCTTGAAATGGCTGAGTCGCTCCTAACTGGTTTGCCACTATAATTAAACTTAACTATATATGTATGTCGACAGATATAAGTAGCATGTAACACCAATGGGAAGTGGAAAACCTGGCAGTAGAAGGTTGGGAACATCAAATAAAAGAGCATAGGAACAGATAGTAATGGGTGTAAAAATGAAGGAACAATAAAGTCTGAGACAGTTACTGGAAATTTTTCAAATGGCGGATTGGACGTATGGTTTCTATATTTTAGAAAATAACCCTGTAATTTTACTAAAATACATTTGTTAGTCCCCATCTATGTTTCCGTTCATTACATATTGACTGATTGCTTAATTGTGTAAGTATTGAAGTAGGCTAGGGTTGGACTACATAACAAAGTTGTTGAAAGTCAAATGCTTAATTCGTTCAACTATCAACTATACGTTATATCATTCAGCTATACATCGAGCAATGACAACTATACAAACCAGACGAATAAAAAGCTCTGAGATCAATTACAGAATATTATGATCAATATTTGGTTTAACATATACACACGATTTCTAAATATAGTACACTTTACCTTGCATGACAGATTTTTATCTTTAGAGGTAAGACCTTTAAGGAACGAAGATAACACATCAGTTTCTCACTAATATATTATGTATGACCTACCCTAAGGAGTTGTTTCTTGCACTCAGTAGTCACGCTTACAGTTCGTCATGAATACTATTAGCCCAGTTTTCTTTTCCGGGACCTCTAGATGATAGTTTCGCGGTGTGTAACTGTAAACCGCCCACAAGTCGCTAACAAAACATGTGTGAACTTGAATCGATACATCTGTGTGCTAGGTTGTACACTGCTAATGACCGACCAGTCTACTATTTTATTAAATCCGATTTCAGAAAAAATGTGGCCACAGAAAGAATATATTTTAGTTTTCGACACCACGAACGGTTGGATGAAGTAGAGAGGTGATGATTTTGTAACTTAACAGTGCAGAATGAAAGACAGATTTGTTGAATTAGTGCACTTCAACTAATTATAGTTACTGTTCACGAATTTAAATAATATACGATTGAACAACTATACACAAACTTCTCTGTCACACTTAGTTCCATGTAACAGATATAAGCTAATAAAGCAGGAGGATATAAACAGACTCAGGGTTTAAACTTACAATTTGATGATTAACTGCCAAAAGTTCATAAAACTGAGTTGAGATGAGATTCACTCACATCTTTTTTCATTCAATTTAATCTACGCATTATATTTTCAGGATATTTTGTCTAGACGAGAATGTTCATCACTAGTGTACCCTTACATACATAAACACAACTGAATTAATTCATTGAGATCACAGGAAATGAATTAGTATGTGATTTTATAAAACCTGTTTAATTTACCACTATGTCTTGTCAGTTATCGTCCATATCTAAAACACTCAACACTTTAACGTTTGTACGGTCAGTCTTTATTTATTTACCAGTCACGAAACTCAACTCTATTTCAGAAGCATGAATGTTGTATACTGATTTAATTTTGTGTTATAACTCATTATTATCAGATATATACGTGTTTTATTGTCGAATATTCCTACCTATCTATATTACTGGATATTCATGTATTAATTATATTAATTAATAATATGGTAACAACCTTTTCAGGTGCGTTTGTCAAAAGTTTACGCACATTTCACTGTACAAGTTACAAAAGAGCTCAATCAGAGACAACATGGTTGCTGGCGATATACATCGTAAAGAATATACATTATTCAGATATCGAGCCTTGAACTGCTAACATTTAATTGGGAATCACTCAATATTTATCGCAAGGATCGATCAAGAAATAGGAAAAGAAACATGTTGAAATAATTTGTGCTGAGAATTCTACAATGTACCCCATAAGTAGTCTGTTGACCTCAGTTGTTTGGTAAAAGTCCAATGACACCCAGTAAAATACATACAATTGACGAAAATAATTTATTTTTTAACAATAAATGATAATTGTACATAGAGAAAGGGAAAAATGTAAGCAAAGAAAAAGAGTGGATTTTGTTTAATCAATCTGTATTATACACTGATATATGAACTCAAGCATGAAGAATTCGTTTTTCATAATAATAATAATAATAATAATAATAATAATAATAATAATAATAATAATAATCACTATTATATCGCATTCAACGGTTTGATTCCCATTAAACGTAAACATGAGGCGAGTACATTTCTAGACGCTAGAAAGATGAATAGACGTATCTGAAAAAGTAGATAAAAATAAGATATATATATATATATATATATATATATATATATATATATATATAATGAGAAGAATCACAGTTAATTATAATTTAACAAAGCAAACTACCAATTAGAACAATCTATTACACTTATTTAAAGCGAACAAATAAGTCATTGAAGTTAAGGTTGTTCTCAAAATGATTTAAATACTTAATTGATGTGTTATCTTTTTCTGTTCTTTTACTCGATCAACTGATACATAAGAAAGAGTAAATTTTAACTGAAGATTTCACTTCAACCCTTAACTTTATTTGTGTTTTTCATCCAGTATGTTGAGTTGCACAACACTGACATGTTTATAGTTTCAAATGCTTCAAACATTTAGTGAAAATATTTAGCATACACACTCGCTAAATCTACGAAAAAATGGTCAACAGCGCTAGATACAATACAATTGTTGAACATTGAAAGCGATATTAAACAACCTCATCCTACATTTTATACATAATCAACCAGTTATTAATTGGCTAGTTTTTATTGTTATATCAAATTATAGGCGGTTAAAGATATAAAGTTTTCAAATATAAGTACCATTTTTATCATAGAATCATATTAAATCCTTCACATATTGCAAAATTATTCACAATATCTAATTTCAATACTTATACGACTAAGCTCATAGTATCCGAGTGCGGGATCGTGGATGCGCACTGCTGAGGAGTCCCACAATAGGACGAAACGGCCGTCTAGTGTTTTCAGGTTTCCAAAGGTGGTGGTCTAACATCAATCGGTTGATGATCTCAATCAAAAAACTATATTTCAGATATCATTACCTTTTTCCACATATATTATATTATGGTTAGCAAAAAATATTCGTACAGTTCAGAATACTCTAAATAATCACCTTAGTGTGACGAATTACTGTTGTGACAATGAAGAAAAATCTCAGCATGTAACTTAAGTACACTGTTAATATATTTGTGGCTTTCTGAGATACATGAGAGATAATGATACTTACTGGTTGTTAAAACTGAAGCAAATAAAGTGGAGTGTTGGAACTTACGACCTATTAATGTCAGTAGATGGTTAAAACATTTTGTATTTCAGTTGTTACCCTGATGGTTGATCAGGAATTTAACTATTTTTAAAAATAAACTATTTTCTGAAGTGATCTAAATACTATTTATACATTCGTAAATGAGTATATGCGACTAGTTACAGTATCGCTTTGATTAATATGTCAATCATGCCCCCAAATGTCTTGGTACGGTAGAAAGTGGGGAGAGTCAGCTCTCCCTCGCGAAATGCTCTCACATAGCTACGTGCATACACCCACTGTCCTACTCACTGCCTTATCGCGGCATTACTGTTTGCGAAATTGAGAGAACGATGAACAAATGTCCGGCACTTTAATCGGGTTGGTGGATATGGAGGATCCACCAAGGGAATTTGGAAAACCCTAATTCCAAAACAATGGTCACATGGGTCCCAGGATCCTTAGGGAACAAATGAAGTATGAACCAATTGTTGACCACCGGCTACCATGGGACTGTATCTCTTTACGTTGCTCTACTGTCTTGTGGATCGGACCTTTAGGTTGAAGGCTCCAAGTGTGATCCCCTAAGAAAACCACCTGCTTCGGCTTGCGAACCTCACACAAATCGAATGATTTATATGGCGCATATCTACTTGGTGCCTCCTTGTATCAATGTTTTTGTGTTTGAATAAATATAAATATGTCAATTATATAATGAAGATGAATTTGATTAAGTATGCATAAGCACTGGATATTTTCTAACTCTTACAGACTATGTGTTAGTGGGACATAGACTAGATTAAAGCATGCTCAATGCATGATTGCTTTGGTGCACGCTGATTGGCTAATTCTTATCCAATCAGCACTAGCCGATAGTTGGAGAACACTCTGGAATCTTCTTATGTAAAAACTATAAATATACTGACGTTTTCCCTATTGTGCTTCTGACTTGCTATTTGGAATATAATCTCTTTCCTATTCAACCGTGTTCTGATTTGGGGTCTTGTCGAGTGAATCGGTGTCCAAGGATACTAAGCAATAGGAATAGCTGGGTCATAACCGTAAGAAAAGCGATTTATAACACTATGACTTTGAACCGATTGAACAGAATTACTATAAGGCAGTGTACCAATATAAGTTTTGTTCGATTTGTTTCAATAGTGACGTTCTACCGTTGCTACAATCTTAAGTATTCGATCAAGATAGTAAACAGTATGTGGACGAAATGGACTAATTTCATACAAGATTAAATGAACTACCAGTATTATAGATTTCGCTGCTGATTACCAAAATTTAATGATTTGTCTAACAATAATGAAGAATTAAATTGATTATTCTATTGATATTAATTTCTATCCTTTTGACAACATTTTAACAAGTTATTTTATTCTAGTCGATTATTTTACTATTAAATTAATATGTACTCACTAGTGACTAGCTTCAAGATGGATTTCCTGGAGGTTTAATGAGAATCCGTGACCAGTGTAGTTCAACTGTATCTGTTTTGAGACAGTTACTCACTGACGACAATGATGGACGGTCGCGTAATATAGTGGATTGGTGAAAGTTAGACATTAACACCGTTAGGTGTCGGTTCAGTGTTCGCGCGAGAGACCGAAGGTCCTGGATCGTGTCTTGCGTACGGGATTGTGGATGTGCACTGCTCACCAGTCCCATACTGGGACGAAACGGCCATCCAGAGCTTCCACGTTTTCAATGGTGGTGGTCTAACATTGATCGATTTATGATATCAATCTGAAGTCAACAATCTCCACAACCCTATACTGATATTAAGTTATGTTTGATGATGACTAGTGCAGGTTCAGACTTATATCAAGACCAAACAGTTGTCAAAAATGTTATTGATTGATTGTCACGCTTTATCACGAATTGATTAAAGTTGAAAGTGTAACGTTGGACGCCAAACTAATGGTTAATATTTCGCTACGAGAAGTGAAAGTTCTGGATTTGACCTGTGAAAGAGTCGTGGATATGTACTGATGAAAAGTTCCTAACTATGATGAAACAGATGTTTAGTATTTCCTGATTTTCAGTAATACTCTATGTGAAAGCAATCTGTGACAAATATAACCTACATATATTTGGCCAACTGATTAGGGGTTTCGTCCGCAGAAATTTATTCATTTGATGGCTTAGATTTTAATTTCATGAGAAAATTGTCACAATTTAACGAGCTCTGTTACGTCACTAATGTTTTTTATACCAAGTTAATTGTTTCCTTAGTTCTAAAACAGTTCTATTAGAGGGGGAGTAAAGAACATAGCAAAAGAAGAATTAAACAGATATCGATCACACTTACTAGTTGATCTTCTTTAGTTGTGCATGCCAAAACTGGTAAATGCTTCCAAGCTGAGTTTACATCAGAGCTGTAGAAAAATGGTATGGAATATGGACAAAAACAGTAAACAAACTTTAGTTGAAGGAGGTCTGTGAAGATTAGTTAAAATTACAGGTTGTATTCGTCACAGACTAGCCTTTATTATAGTATTGTTGAAAATCAGGGAGAAATAGACAAGTGTTTTATTTTAGTATAGGTTAGACAACTGACGGGGCTATAGGTTCACGCTGTTAAGAAGTCTCATACTAAGACTAAAAAGCCATCCAGTCTCCATGATTTTCAATGATAACCCAACTGAGACCAGTTTACAAAGTATGTAACTCATAAATAAAAGGAATTATTGTTGATAAAAAAGCTGATCATTGATAAATTTTTCATGCACACTGAATGAGGCGGACAACTCTATGGGTTAGACGAACCTACTATATTACCCCGATAGTGTACACAAAGCGAAATCAAACGGTCTTTTGCTTGAAAGCTTTTACCGTATTTAACATAACAGAATATTCAGTCAGTCAATTGGCCATAAATAACACAGAAGCTGACACATATGTTGACGGCCTTTAGCTGTCGAACAACATAAACACCACGAACTGGGTAACGCGTTGACGTTCCAAACGAAATGTATTGGTTTTAAGTCCTGGGTAAGCATCAACATTGGTATGCAGGTGTCCAAATGACCATTCCCAGATAGGTAGAAACGCACGTCCTAGGGTCTACTGCTAACCACATTCCACTCATTCTATCTATTTTAAAATATACTTTAAAAAATAGATATATTTTGACGTATGAGATATAAGAGACTTACGTAAGTTGTAATGCATATTGTAGTACGTAATGTGGCTCGTATTTTGAATAAGCAGTACGAAGCACAGTAGAAAATCTAACAATAAAGGATAGGTGATAATACAAATTAAAATGAATAGTATCTAGTCAAACAATTAACCTAGTAAATCATAAAGAACTGATGGATCTTTGAATCTGCCCTAGAATCTTCAGTCCATTAGTTTGCTTAAGTAGGCTAGAGGACTTTATAAGTGTCTTCGGATCATTGGGCATGAATCATGGGATGATAAACTGAGGAATCCTAAGGTTAGATATAGGTTAGTAGATGGAAATGGAAAATAGGCTGATAATATTGCGAATCTCTATCGACCGATGTATTCGGAACATGTGTTACATATGCCTGACAATCGCCTACTTTGACCGAGACGTTAGCTGATGTAAAGGTGAGTTGTAAGGAATCGAAGTGAGCAGCACAATAGATAGGATGACTGTATATGCACAAACAACTATTAAGTTTTATTGTGGATTTGTTGCTATCATGTTCGTTTGAGAAGAGGAATACAGTTGAGAAGAGATGATGAATAACAGATAAGTCCTATCAGCGTTTGTAAGGGTTCTACGTACAAAGGTTATAGCGATCAATTAATCATCATCGTAATAACAATTTAACAGCTTCATAGTTTTGTTACAATGAAATCAAGGTATCAGAGACCCTAACTACACAGCTGTTAGATTTTCGAAAGTGAAAATGAGGAATACCATTAATCACATACACACGTATCATATTCAGTCTTGTGGTATACTACTTTAAAATATAGTTAATGATCATATTGTTTACATTGTCAGCTTTTACTATCAACTAGATAACATTTAAAAGCAACCTGACCTGCACAACTGATCAGCCAATTTTACAAAAGATTTTTCATTAATTGTTGTTGAAGGCCATTCTTTAAATTGATCAAATTCATGAATAAGTTGATCCATGTCAAACACAATTGATGTTGGATCACTGCTATTAACCTTGAATGGGAATAGACCGGATGAAATTGAACGAGATTCTAGGCTTTAAATAAAAGGCGAGAAAGTCGAAGTAATAATAATCAAGCGAGTATCATTTTTCATTAAATTATTGGAAATGAATGTATCTCTAGAATAATCTACGTTCAGTCGACTAATTTGGTCCAATATCATTTATTTATTCATTTAAATACAAATATTGGTACAAGAAAGCACCAAATATATATACACAGCCTTTGAACTAGAAGTCGAATCCACGAGGCAGTGCAGCAATGTTGGGAGATGCAGTTTCATGGTAACTGGTGACCAACTATAGGTTCATATGCCTTTAGTGGCCCTATATCTGACCCCATCTACATCGTATGGACAGTTGTTGTCAAAATATACATCCTGGCTATTCTCGAATATAATCATCCACTTTGACCGCGTTAGAGAATAACGGAAATAAATAAGTCAAGTATGAGAATGAATTTCAAATAAATACATTTTGTACAATCATTGGTCCAGGTAGACGATCAAAGGAACGAAGCAAAACGAAATGATGCGCGGTGGAGAAGGCATGTGAGCCAACTCCATTTATTCAAGCGTCAATCAATATTTATAGCCAGATAAAAATAAGTTGCAGACATGTGATGAATAGAATAAAAAGTGCGCTCATATAAAAACAGTCAAGGTTGATAAGTGAATAATTAACAAAATCAAGACGTGACTCAAGAAGAAAGGATGAACTGGCCTATCCTGAAGGTAGAATAAGTTATGTGGGCTTAACATAGTAACGGACACTACATATCTTTTGTTCCATCAGGACCCTGGAGTTCATATGCACCACTGGTATGGAATCAGGGTTTTCCAACTCCCCTAGATGGATCCTGCATATCCACTAAACCCGGTTAAAGCGCCGAACATTCGCTTTTCATCCTCTCAATTTCATAAACAACAACGCCGCGAGAAGGCACTAAATAAGACATCCCTGGCAGTGGCTGCATACGGGTGGCCACGTGAGAGCATCTCGAGGAGCTGACACTCCCCACTCTCTGTCATACCAGAGCATTTAGAGGTCTTTATCATTAGATAAAAACTTACTTTTCTATAAGAGTTGCTATTGTATGTAAAAGTAAAGGTAATACTGAATGACTGAAATATTCCAGGGAATCCTGAGAGATCAAGTCAGCTACCGACGAAGTATGATGTTGATGGGACTATCAAGATTAGTAGTAAACAAACAACAACTCCACTTTCTATGGTCGGATTAAGAAGTGATTAAATAGTCCGCAATATGAAATGGTATAAGTAGACAAACATAAGGAGATTACACCAATGAAGTTTTATGTCAATCAGTTAGTTATAAATAGTGTAGAACCTGAGCAAATATGTACATCAGTTACTAAACCACATCAACACAGAAAGATGAAAATATCAAGAAAAATGCGAGAGTAGTAGAGAATTAACAATGTCATTATAAAAGATATTAGGCATAGAAAATATGATTCGTGAAGAGAGAATGAATTTGTGGAGTCAAAAATATAATTTTGAAACTCAAGATATGAGAGAAGACAAAGAATGGATGTATGTTTGTGCGATTCAGACTGATTCTGAGTCACATAATCCAACGTCTGTAATCCTTTGTTATGATAGTTCTGCGGACACCAACCAGGAAAACTAAACTCAGGTCAGTTGTCAACTTCTTTATGGATTTAGTCAATCATAATCAACGTAGATCTTAACACACATGTGACCTATTTTCCCATGACAAGAGTAGTGTACAAATGTGCTCAGTCTTTGATTGGAGCTATTATGCGGACTCCAACTACTTCATACACCGATGTCACGTCTGAGTTTAGCCATGCTCTTTTATTTACTAGTTTTCTATTCGGAGGTAATTATTAATCTTTTCACTTAAAATATATCGTATATTTTGCATTAGATTAGTCAATTACACCAAATTTATTTTCGAATACATACCTGCATAGTCTTGCATGACAATATTGTAGAGTTAATCCGCATAATTCACTTACAGCTGACGATTTCAACAAATGACTATTTTTCATTGTTGTTGATGATGATGTCACTGGTAAACCAAGGAATGTCTGTAAATTAATTGGTTTTTGACGTGGATAAGCAAACATTGTTGTTACCAAACATGTTACACCTAAATGATCAGCTATTTCATTTTGACATAACAATGGTGGATTAACTGATTCATTTTGGGTTATTCGTGTATCTAACGAAGGGAAAGAAAAAAATCAAACAAAACAATACAAAACTAATAAGCAGAGATGGATGATGACTAGTAGTGGAAACCAGGACATCTAGAGAGACTATTATAAAATAAAATAAAATGAGGATGTTGACTATCGATCGTAAAATGATTACTTTTTAATGGGGACAAATATTATTAGTCACTTACAACACGGTGGATTGGTGAGGACAACACTCATCAATGTGAACGCAAGAATGAAATGACTGTGTATAAGTGTAAGTGTAAAAGATTTATGAGATGGAATGATATTGCAGTTTTTGTTAAAGTTAGAACTAAGGTTGGGATTTGTAATAACTGTATAAATGAATTCATCAGCACATTTGTGAGTGGGTAGTCGGATGTGTCGCTACTGTTATATTTGGAGAGTCTTTTGTACTATGTAAGTATCCACTTTGTTGAGCACGCAGTCTCACTGCTTTACGTGATAATCGGGAAACACTGCGATTCCTCGACCTTACTGTTTATACCGAGGAAACAAGATCCACTACAATTCTCATAACGTGAAGTTAAAACACAGAAGACTGGTGGTATGAAGATTTCTTGACTCTTCAAACAAGTTCCTAAAATTACGTAATCATTACGTGAGCGAAACAAGATTACTTCTATACTAATTTTTACACACACGTTTAAATCACACACATATAGGTGGAAATGCATAGGCTTACGATAAAACCACACTGAATATAGTTCATCTGAATTGATACACAGAATATAATTGTTACACTGAACGAGTTCACATTTCTTACATTGAGTAAAGGTTGTACTGAATTGATGATACAGGAAAATATTGATTTAAGGTTAGGTTGGAATTAGAATTAGAGTTTGGTGTTGAAGAGTTAGGATCAGCATATAAGATTAGGATTCAGGGTATGGATTTAGGATTAGAATTGAGGTTCCAGTTTAGGGTTAGTGTTTGATGTTAGCTTTAGAGTTAGGATGTGTTTTAACTAATCTCGAATCCTAACCTTAAACTATAACAGTTACAAACCTACAATCAACTTGGAGATGTCCAACAATCATTCGAAATATTCAAAGCAAATTCTTTAATTTCATAAGATAGTTCATTCATTTAATCATATTTGCTGCTTTCTAATTAGCTGAAATTTACCGTAAATCACTGTACAAGTTGTACAAATTCGGTATTCTAATTAAACATTACTGCAATGAACAAATAACATTATAGCCTTTTAATATGATTGAGAAAAATTATAAGGGCCCTAAACAATTCGATTTTAATTTTATTGGAGAATGAGTGACGTATAAAAAGGGGATTTTCGTCACTTACTTATAATATCAAATCAACTGTACAAAAGTACTTTGTATAGAAGTATGTCAGTTAATCTAAGAGTTTAAGACAATTATCATCCAGTCACATTAGCAATTATCACACGATCAAATCTTGTTGATTCATTCATCTACCGATTAACATTCTACTCATATTTGTTTTATTAACTCTAAACTGGTTCATCATTAAGCATTCATCCTAACCTATAACATCATTTCATTAGAGCCGAAATTAATTAAACAATCAATGAAAACAAGGTAACAATGAATAAGTGTGTTATGTTTAAATTAGGAAAACTTTTTAATATTATACTGTTGCTGAGACGTTGCCGACGAGAATGGAAGTGTAATTGCGGCATACTAATTAAAATTGAATGTTTACACTGTTAAGATACTGTTTAACAATTAGGAGGGGAGGGAGAAGAAACTTATTCCATGAGTTATCTTTGGTTTATACAACAGTTTGCAATGAAACCGAACCACTTAAATCAATAATTGAAAGATAATCTGTCACATATACTAGCGAATAACTTACTCTGTTTAATAGTACTTTAGTAATGGTATGTATGTCTAACCACTACCAGTGATGGTGTAGAAGTTGGTAGAAAGCTGTGAGTAACAAATCAAATCAGTCCAAGAATTCATAAGATATCTACGTAGGTGTAAACCATCAATTTAAGGGGTACATGAAAATTGGTGATTGGAAACATCGAGTTAAATGGCTTAGAACTATTCAGTTGATAGATGGACACACTTATTATGTTGCTCTAGGTCTTGAGTCACGATATTTTTTTATGCATATCTTCTCACGCTTTCTTTTCAAGCCATATTTTCAATTTGAAATAGAGATGAATGGTGGCTAACAGTGGGATTCAGAACGCGCGTTTGGTCCTATTTGGGAATAAATGTACCTGCAACCCAGAGTTAATGTTCACTCTAGAACTCGAATCCAGTACTTTTCGCTTCAAATACCATCGCATTATCCACTAAGCTACTGATTTGTGCAATAGGGTGAATATCGATTCATATTTATTAGTTGTTTGAATCTTCCTATTGATATTTTAAGACTGCAATTGATTAGTCTCTTTTGGTATGTGTGCATTCTGTGTGGGTAGCCTCGATATTGCAAGTAAGTCAAAGCATTTGAAGGAGAAATGGGTCTTTAATCTTTGTTATTGTCAATATCACTACATTGTTTCAATTAATTTGGCATTCATCTAGTAAATTATACTCTCGTGTTAATATGATTGTAAATAACTTAGTGATAAGTGGGTAAGACGGTTACATTGCTATAACGGTATATATATTTTCCTATTTACGAAGACTAAAAATAAAAGTATAGTTTGAATGTATAAACACAGATGATTGTTTGCTTACTTTGGGAAGATTTCATTCGATTCAACATAAATTGTTGAGCATTATTTAAAATATCCAATAGAAATAAACCTTCACCTTTTCTAGTACTCATTCCCATAATTCGACCGAATGGAATATGTAAAAGATTACGAGCACATTGACTACACTGATCATTATCAGTATTATCATCACCATCATCACCGACCATAGATCTAAGAGCGAAACAAAAACAAGCAACTTTACTTTGACTAAGTAGAAACGTTACTTTTCTGTGACTTATTTAATTATACTGCTTGTAAGTGAACAATTATAGATGTTCTCTGTAAGCTTACATTTCATTCTAATTGATGATTGAAAAATAAGATACCAAAAAGTGGTTGTATGTAGTAAGTTACAAAACATAATCCAATCTACAATCATTAAATAATGACTATTGTTACTTTTGTCTAACCATTAAGTGCTGGTCCAATTCTATAAATTAAGTTGCAAAGTGATAAACTAATCTAAGTGACTTGATATTACATGTACTACGTTGAAATATTAATTGGTGTTTGAAGGTAGTTGGTAGGGAACTCTAATCTATTTAGGCTTCGTGTCAATCAGAACTGGTGATGAAGCCATAGACCCCATTGTGATAGAACACTGATGCACCTGATGTGATTCGAATCCACATCCTTTGGTTTCATATTCAAATTTAGTATTGGGCTGAATCATAACTGACCCTCTTTAGAACTGAGACACATTTAATTTAAAGGGTCTTATACAATTCACCTCCAAATACCTAGAAACAATATTATTCCTCAATGAATGCAACTTTGGAATTATCAATCGAATTCGTGAGCTTAGCGGAAACCTTATCCTATGTTGCTGTTTAGCTGCATTTGAATCAACCGGTAGTTTGTTACAGAACAGAAGTCTAAGGTATGGAATATTAGATCTTTATGGAGAATTAATTTAAGTTTTAAGAAAAAAATGAACATATTGTCATCATTGGTTTTCTAAATGAGTGGGATAAAGTTGAGGTTTGGATACAATAGCATTAAATATATAACACATGGATGGATAAGAAATACTAAAACTGACTTTATAAAGTCGAAACTCTCACACAGATAATAGTTATTTCTTTTCAAACATATAATGAATACCAACCAAGAACCTTTTACTTAACTGAGCGCGTAATATCAGAAGATAACATCTAATCTAAAGCTGTAAATAATGAATATTTTTTTGGAAACATTACTCTATACAAACTTTTTAAACGATCTATATATCCATAGGATACAGCCTTTACTAGTGCACGGCAACTGGTTTATTTTCCGACTAATCCGCTCCAGTGAGTATAGTGATACTAAATACTCAAAGCTTCCTATGAGAATATTATACAAACACTAATGCTTTTATCATTTTGTATCTTATACTGGTTGAATCTTCAAGATATACTTCCATCAACTTCCAACTATTGTTCTGACTGGTAACTAGTCGAATTAAAAAACGGGTCCTGTGGTAACTGAAGTGAGTTGATGAACACTAAACATTTCAACTGATTATCCATCAAGGAACGTAAATTGAGATATTCACACTTAAGGTTGACATCAAATGCTGGCGTACCGTAATCACCAGCTCCACTTTATATTATATCAAGACATTTATGTAGAATACTAAACAGTGAAGCTGAGTCCCCGAACATCTCGGACGTGTTACTGTCCCCTTGAATCTAAATTCTCGAAGTACCTTCCGTATAATCAAGTCAACGTAGCATGCATGTTTGTTAGTTGCAAGCTCACATCAACAAGCGAGTCTTCCACCTGCCTACAGAATACTATACTGAACATATCTCCCCAACACTCGAACCACATCGAAAGGGTATTCCCATATTCAGACCCATATATAAATTTAGGGATGCTGTTAAAAACTACATCATTAGAAGTAGATGGAACACTGGATGTCAAACCGAGTCTGTTTTTGTCCTTATTAAAGAATTCGACTAACTTAATCTGCTGACACCCAGTCGAGTAAAATATTGTGTTCAGGTAATCTGTAGAATTAAGACAGTAACAATGAGAACAAAGAAAACGAATTAAACACATAGATATCGACGGATTAGTTTAATCGAATTCTTTAACGCAGTTGACCGCGACTATAACTCATCAGCTCAATAGCCAGTGTTCCAGTCCAATATATTTAATAACTACGTAAAATCTACTTACGCTCTGTAATGTTATCATTTTCTTTTACATAAACTATCCATTTACAAAAGCTGTTTTGTGATTGGTCAGGAATTGGTTGAAAATTCCCCAAAATTATTTTAAGCGCTCTTTTATACTAACACATTACTAGAAAATTTACTGCACCACCGAGCAATGGGATAAAATGTTTGATTTATAATTCAACCACTAATTGACATTAACAAGGTTTATATAGAAATGACCTTAGGATTAATCAGTCATTATCATTACTAATACCTTACTTATTCGTTGAATAAACCACATTTATTAAAATGCAACATCTATCAGCTCGGAATCATCCAAGCACATTTTACTTCCGGTAATCATCAAATCGGACAAACATGATATTGGTCACTACTCAGTTGCACAGAAATTGCAAGTATCTGATTCCTACGGGAGGTCGTTCGGCGCCGGAATCTTTTATTCGTAACGTCTCAGATTTTAAGATTAAGCGACGTAGTTCAAAATGATATGGGGAGTATCAATGCTCTTAAGACTGTAGATACATTGATGACAAGCGAGGGGTGGTACGGAACCTAAGAACAGTGTATCCTGCTGACTACTTTTAACCACCTAATAGTTGGATATTTGGACTGAATGACCACCCAGAATTAGTCAATTTTTTCGTTATATAATTCTCAGTGTGCTGATCAACTTCAATAGAATAAGAAGTGAAACACATCCACATATCTGAAACCAACCGCAGCTTCTACATTGAAGAAAATTCATTTGAATACAAAAACATTGATACTTACAAAACTGGCCAATTATAACCCATTTTTAGGAGAACATAGTTGAGTTGTTGAAAGTGTAAACGCTGTCCGATTTCAACCTTTAAATAAAGTAATAAACAGGATTATGCTGGCTAATAGATAATATAACAAGAATAATTTGGATTACAGAAAACATAATAAAAATCACAAAAAGAGCCATTTTACTTGGCGTTTTAGCATGACATTGAAACATCTGCCAGCCAAAACGTCACATCACAATATGGCCTGTTGATGTAGGCAGTGACTAATGATACATAAATGAAGTGGTTAATGGATTCAACTATTCTAGCCAGACCAGTACTGAAACAAACTTTAAATTTAGAAGGAGAGAAACTCACACTAAACACGCTTGAATTGCTAATCAAAGTATTCAGAAGACTAAAAACTATGTCAGCGTCTTCACTAAATAAGACCATACCATCTGAGTATTTCCAGTCGACAAGTGGAATTCATGAAGTGTGATTTCTAGACCATTTATAGTGAAATTAACTAAGAAAGAGGATATCGGGTAACCCTGATGAACAACATTATGAGACTGATAGTTCTGACGATAGTTCACCATAAGCCTTAACTTGAAAAATAGTACTGGAATGGATAACCTTTACAAGGTTTAAGAACTTCATTAGTACGCCCTTTTAATCACAAATGCTGCTACGAGAATTCTCAGTAGTCAACTGAGTTAACTGGAGTCATAAAGTCGAGAAACATAACTATAGTCAAGAATCGGAAAATTATATCCAAAATATAAGAGATGAACACATAATTAACAGAGAGTATGAGCTATTCACATGTAGCATAATACTGAAATAATCTTGAAATTTAAGTTATTAACCAAATTCCGACTTACGCACTTAAACTTCAGCAACACAGTACTTGGACATGGGATAGTAATGCCATCCAACCACATGAAGCAAATTAGGTGAAGCGGTGGTCGAACTTATGGATTAATACGTAAGTGTCTTTTAGCCACATAACGTAGTCATGTCAAAAAGTCACCGAACACTACCAAAAATTTAGGTGCTCCGGTCAACCAGTTTTACGGGTTTTGTGAAGATTCGTCAAATTTGTAGCTTCTATTCGTCACAGATTAATCTCAATTGAGGTATCATTGAAAACTATGGAGTGCTAAACAGCTGTTTCGTCCTATTATGTAACTCCTCATGAATGAGTATTTATGACATCACTAAAGGGTATCGCAAGTGATATTAATTATTAGTGAATAAAACCTACTTTGGCCGATTGTCCATTGATTATAGAAATGAAATACAAAAGGTAATCATTTGTTGGACACATGAAACCAGAGTGAGAGAGAAAGAGCTGTCTGATGACGAAATGTTTATTTTCAGTAACTTTCGAACTTCCAAGTTGTACTTATGATTATAAATATAATGGCCGAGGAAACATCAATTTCACCACTGAATTAATCTTTTGTTGCATAGTGACAAAACCATTAGTACATAAATGCATATATATATATATATATATATATATATATATATATATATATATATATATATATATATATATATATATATATATATATATATATATATATAACAAATATACTACATACCACATAATGTATCCTATCGAAATGGTATTTTTCGTAACGAGAAATTGCCGCCGCTATATCCCTGTGAGTTAAAAAGAAAACTAAGCATTATAAAAAAAGCAAGCTACATATATAATCTTTCAATAACATCTCCAAACCCTAATCTTTCCTATTACTGCTTATACTTTTACTACCTCTACCACTACGGGATTTGAACCGACAACTGCATCTCTGTACTAATATGGTATGACGACTCGAGCTGATGTACGTAAGTACGAAGTTCTACGTTGTTACTGACTGACTGACTAACTGACTGACTGACTGACTGACTGACACATAAAAGAGATCCTAGTAACAATATGATGAAGTATAGATAATCAAGCCTAATTATAACAAAGTGTAAAAAAATTAATTTTTTAAGTTATTTACCTGGTTAAATATAAAGTTGACTTATCACTTTTTAATAGAATAATATTTTGATTCGAAAAATTCACATCATTATTGTTTGCTGTCGACATACAAGTCAGTCCATCACTGAAAACAAAAATACAATAACACAAAAATGAAATAGATAACCAGTATAACAATGAATTATACAGTGAAAGTACATTCTACCTTATCGTAAATGATCAGATAACTTAATAACATTACAATACATAGTGCATCCTATATGTGGTTGGATTACCACAAATCAGTAGTTAAATGGTGAAAACAGTGAAAAGATAAGTTTGGAATAAATGAATAGTGTTGACGTCTATGAATGAAACGATGAGTAATACAGGTTAGAATACCTAAGGGTATTATGACGTTTGCCCCTGTCAATTATCACGTAATAAAACCACCAGTCAGAAAACCGACTTCTGTGACCTAGGCCTTGTGATAAGTTAACCAGAACGAGCAGAAATACAAGCGAGCAGTCAACCGACCATTATAAATTCTCAAAGTCCAATAATCAGATATCATACGTAACAAATCCAGGTACCTACGTGTGTCTATCTCAAATCGAAACGTCTGAGAAAAGTCAAATTTTGACTAAGGATGGAATCTACGATGCGTTTCATCCCAGATGGGACTTGTTAGTTAAATGTAAATGAATCCATGTTATTTTCACACCGATACTCGAGTCCACTGTGTATTCCATCAAATACTGACGCTTTATCTACTGAGATACTGAGTCGGGATGGCCACTAGCTTATGCAACAGCTATACGTTTTGTTTGTAAGGGTTTGCGTTTTCCAATTTTCTGCAACAGTGAGGTTATTTGCTCTGGATATACATATCTTAATAGAGATTTATCAGATGCAATCATCAATATCATCAACGAGAAAATACAAACCTTTACAAATACTATACAGGAAGATTTTTGGTAAAATTATATTATACTATCAACTCTGAATAAGCTAATCAGAATCAAGATAAAACCACATATATCTTTCGCACAATTAAAGGCAAAGTGCTAGTTAGCTTGTATATTGGAATCAACTAAATAAAAATTAATATCGGAAGGGTTTTTGTTGATATTATAGTAATTTCAATGGTTAAGATCATGGATCAATTGAAGCTAGACCACCGTGGAAAACATGGAAGCACTGGACGGCCGTTTCGTCTTATTATGAGACGACTCAGCAGTGCATATCCACGATCCCGCCCCGCGAGATCCGAACCCAGGACCTATCAGCCTCACGTGCGCTGAGAAGTCCCACAATAGGATGAAACGGCCGTCCAGTGCTTCTAGGTTTTCCATGATGGTTTGGCTTCAATTGACTCATGATCTCAACCATTGAATTTAAATAAAAATTGGCAATAGTTGATTAATAAAATACTTGAAATTGATAAGAAAAAATAGCTACTATACAACCAGACAATGGATGTGATATAGCGCTCAATTCTAGTTACAAGAAATACCTGTTCCTGACGTAGATTGTGCAGTAAAGTACTTTTTGTGATTCAGTGCATAGTTAAGAGTGTTTGTGTCTCTAGATAATATTCCTGTACTTCAACTCCCAACTCTGAACTTCAAACCAATAGCTTTTAAGCTTGTAAAACAAAGCGTGTTAATGACACATTGAATTAAAGCTCATGACAGTTGTTGACAAGTATCCTAAGCTTAATTCGTAATCTCAGTACATAATAACACTGGTTTAATTCTTATTATCTAACTCTAACGTTTTTCGAATTATATCTAATGTCACTTGGTAAAAAAGACCCTATAGGGTCATAAATTCAACTCACGGACTCCTGATCGTGTCAAGTTCACTACTTAACTGCAGACTTATCTCATTTTATTGTTCATTGCTTTATAACTAGGCATTGCTTTCTGAATGGGTGATAAGAAGACTAAGGTCGTTAGTATGAAATACTTTTGTTTAATTTTCTTTAGAAATTATCCCTCATCAAAAACAATGACTAAATTATAAATTATTTGGCAATATATTAAAGTCAAAGCAACTTACGAACTTTTGTAAGCTAACCCATTGGCTAGTAACATGTTAGCAAGTGCATAAGCCTTCTCCACATAATCGGATTCATATTCGTAACTTGTAAATTGAATATTCATACGCTATTAGGATAGTTAGAAAAAACAAAGTTTAAAATGATCAACTCATTGGTATAATTGGAGAATATTGAGACAAGAACAAATGAATTTAGAAAAGAATAAATGTTAACCTCGTTTGCATGATCCGTCTTTTCCCACCAAACTCATTTTTGTGTATTCATATATACTACTTTTATTATTCAGTAACCCGTTTCATTTCTAATAATTTCTGAATGTATGATGCAGCGTACGTTTATTTCTTGTGTAATATTCTTAACTAAACTAATAATATGCATTTTCTTTGTCAGAGTAATTATACTCTCTTAACCCTTGTTACAGTTATTTGCAGTTTTTGTTCATTCTTCGATTCTTTTAGAGTTGTTGGAGATCTTGTTAAATTAGTGACTATCGATCCACAACTGATTCAGATAATTAACGGATGCTAGGGCGAACAGATTTTGAGATGATGAAAACTACTAGTGGTTATAAAAACACCTTAGTGAATGACACCAAGATCGATACTGTTGATACAAAAACTTATGAAATTTGTTTATCCTGTTTTGTAGTTGAATACCTTCCTATTTTTAGTTCATATGGATTACTTTTATTTAAGATATTGTTGTAACTACAAAAATAATAAACACTTTGTCGATACTAGGTATGTGATACGACAGTAGATAATACACCACTAGACGAGAGATCATAATATACAACGATACAGAATTCAAGAACAACACAATTGAGAACCAGATCATAGGTTAGACAAGTTACATTAACACAAATACAAGTAGCTCATACACAATGAAACCTAGAGTACATAACAATTGTAAAAATTAATATTCAACTTGAAACTGTTCCATAAATTTAACACACTTGTGTGTCTATTTGTTTACACCCACTAGCCGATCACATACAATTTTACTGACTGCACATTAAAGTTAACTTTTGTAATCAAGAGAAGTATGACGTAATAACAAATAGACCTATAAATATGGTATGTTGTTTGATGCAATAAAATGAAATGACATTCACTAACCTTAAGGAGATTCGAACCTGTGACTTAACCGATTGCAGTTAGCCGTTAAAACTACTTAGTTTCCCTGAGCCTAGTTAATTAAAATTCCTTATAGGCTTCCTTATTAAAAGTGTTATTGTTGTTATTGATAAATTAATTATATTTTTCATTGTGAAAAATCAACGCAAAAGGCAATGAGGTATCTAGAATTAATAATCAAAGATTAATATGACGCCATGTGAATTGATCTTGATTTTATTGAAAAGTGAATGACCTACAATTATCATATTCTTTAGTTATTCACATATGTTGAATAACTTCCAATTACGTCTGATCTGTACATTGATGTGTTCCTTTTTTAGAAGAAAAATCCTGTTTTATTTAATAGCTACCCTCCTAACTGATATTAATTTATTGTGATAGACGATTAGAATAAAGATACATAGTTGAAGCATTTTTAATTATTTTTACGTAATAAACACAGAAATATATCAGTCAGCTAAAACGAACGACCAGGCATACATATAGATCAGTTCGAGTTGCTACACCTCATCAGCACAACAACATGAACACCAAATTCATAGAACCAGACACTTCAACGGTATTAATGTGTAAAAGAAAGACTGTATATAAGGATATGATAAAGGGATAAAAATCTGTTAGTAGAAAGAAAGGTAAGGTATTTTAATCTTGCGGTTTGAGAGAAGACAAAGATTGTATACACCTACGCAATTGTGATCGATTCTGAGACATGTCACCCAGAGTCTCGAACGATTGGTTACGATAGTCAGGCGGATCCCAACCAAGTGGTCTGTATCTACCAACATAGCTAAAACCAGAAGTTAATGACTTTGTGGACTGACGCCACGTTTTTGTTTGACCGCCCCTATATAGCTGAGTAAGGGTTCTATCAACAAGCTTTAATTACAACTACTGAACAGTAACAGAAAACAAAATAATGTGAAGAAGATGACGACAATAATAACATGTATAATAAAATAGTAATTCTTTTCTTTTTTTTACCTGGTAATTTGATTGCAACTGTTCACAAGTTACTTCACGAATATATCGCCAGAATTCAGTATCACGAGATTGTATTTCAGTTGTATTATTGAGTATCGGTTTGAAAAAGTTAACTGATTGATCTCCATGATCAATTCCATATGGTAGATTTTTCTTATTTGATGACTGAATATCACGATTCACTTGTACATAGACCTGTTGTAGTAAAATAAAATGGTAGAAGACCTATTCTTCATAACGGATATTATTTCCTTATTGTTGATGTTAACGATTATAATTGATCAGTGTCTGTTGGCTATGTGTATCCTCAGAGCATTATTTTGATGTCGCTGTTTGTCGTCAGTTTTAATAAATTTGGACTATGGCTAGTAGCAATAGAATTGAAGAAAGGCGATTTATTCCATCTGAAACTTGTCAGCAGAAAATGCCTGCATCCAATGTTGATGTTCAAAATTGTGAACTGAACCTAGTACCCATAGTTCTAATTGCTAATGTGTTATTCACATTTAATACAACTTGTGATTAATGTTGAGGCAATCTACTCAGCAAACACGTATTTCAGTAGAGATTGGTAAATTGAAGTCTTTAACATCAACAAATGAAAAGTATAAACCCTTATAAGTTTACAGCCGCTGAACAAGTTAGAGTCTACTTGAACTCAGTGGTTAACGACTTGATATCCCCTGTTTTCCAGCAGATGTCATTTAATGTTAGGGGCTTAGTCCTGACCATAGTATTCGCTGATAAAGCTCAAACCGGAATACAGTGACTGGACGATTTGCACCTAATCAGTGGAAGAATCGAAAAGATGCTACAAGATTCTCATGTGAATCCTATCGTAACTATAACTTCACTATTAAGATTTACTGAAATATATGTTGTTTTCTTTCCATTTTTGTTTGGATTTTCGAAGAGTGAAATGCAGTATCGTAGCCACAGATATTGGACGACATTAGCGAAAATGCTTCATGGAAAACGTCTGCTTCGCAGTATATATCTAACAACCTAACGAGTCGTTCACTTATGTAGTAAGCAGTAACACCAGAGGGGGTTTATGTATTGATTCATTTATTACTCTTATGTCGTTTTAACAGTAATTTGACATCGCCCATCTCACTATTAAAAGTTGAAAAAACTGATCTATTCAAAACGACACTGTTATGAGTGAAACATTCTGAATATAGGTTTGTAAGTCGACAATAAAACACAGATATTTCTAACTAACACATACTTACTTTATATAAATGTTCAATGGGATTTCTTCGCAATTCAACCTGATCCCCATATTTTGAAAATCCCGATGCTAAGATATCTAGGGGTTATTTGTTCATTTATGAAAGTTTATATTATTAGATAGAATGACTTTAAAGAAATTATATAATGCTTTGTTTTAGATAAATTGTCTCACTAAGAACTAAACTATTTAGGTTTTTAGGTGGGGTTTTTGGCTAAGAGAGGGTGAAATTCATATGTCGTTTAATAAACAACTCGGTGCCGTACAATGTAACCACAGACATTTGTACGGTATTACTTAAATCAGTCGCTAAATTTTTATTGGCATAATTGGCAGTTTTGAATCAAATCTATCGACGAAATAATGCGTTTAGTTACTGGAAAATGTAGCACTAGTTATAATCGGATGATTGATTTATGTAACCCACTTGGTTTTCGTTACTTCAAGAATTCTTGCGATTCAGAACCATAAACACACACTGCCTAACATGTTACGGGGATGAAACTAGGTAGAATATATGCTTTTGTCCTTCTACTGGCGGTAAGGTAAGGATATATAAGCTAAGACATTTGTTAAGTTTAATACCAGGTTGATCCGGTAGTATGGATTTACTTTTCGTCCTATACTTATCGTTTGGCTTTGTGAGCTTAGGTACATGATAAACCTGAATGTTCCCAACTCATCAAATTTGTAGAGATGAAAGTTAGTGACGAGATCCACTCATTATCTCATTAGGTTACCCAAGATTGTAACCGCGTTATAACTAAGGATGTTCAATTGAATAATATGAATGTGCAGGTTGAGGCATCAAATTGAAATATTAGCAAACCAATAAGAACCTAATATTTGAAAGCTAGATTACTCGGTTATCGTTTACAGATTTGCATATAACACAATGTACTTTAGCGTTCTTCATCTACGGCTTAATTAAAGATTTAAATAGATGGTATAAACGTATAAAAGTCTGCTGCCTTTTTCTGAGTGCTAGTTACCCTATGGTGCATACAAACTCAATTTATGTAGAGGCAGGCGCAGAAGATATCTCGAATGGTGATGAGTTTCAAAACTAAATTATATAGCTCAGATAATACATAACCGACAAAACAACAAATAGCAGCTGGAATTCTCTCCACCTACAGCATTTATAAACAGGCTCAATACATTTAGAAAGGTCAAATAAATTAGAAAAAGTGTCCAGAAAGCATACAAAATAGTTACCGAATTGAGTACCCCAATCACCAATGTAATTTATTCCAATTACTTTATTTCCAAAAGCTTCATTGATGTTTTTAACAAAATTTCCTGTTACAGTAGCTCGGAAATGCCCCAGGTGAAATGGTTTAGCAATATTTGGGGAGCTTATGTTAATGAAGGCAGAACGAAGGGAAAAGAGATTGATGAAAATGGTAGTTCACTTAAAGAAAAAGTACCTGTAGTCTACAACAACAGTTTCACAGTGATTCGAACTCCCTCACTACCCATTAGTACTCTTGTAACGGGACTAGTGAATAAAAGGTTTCTCAAACAATTTTTTGATTCTGTAGATGTGAAGAAATAATTAAAACATAAAAAACTCACTTTCCATTACAATGGTTCTGATTGATTAGAATTGAAAGTGAACCACAACATAATTGGTACAAATGGTCATGAGCATGATGGTAAAACGTATAACTGTGTCGAAAGTCTAAAACCCAGGAAAAAACTGCTTAGATAAACAGACATAAGAATCCTGATAAATCTTATATTTATTAGTAAAATTAGTTTTCAACAAATAATGATAGATCATAAGGCCAGGTTTTTGTTTGTAGCCGTAAAATATTTTTTAAGGGAAACTAAATGAAAACGCTACATGTAACGGTTCACGCTTTTTAAAATATACCACACATAATGCTTAATATTGATTAGGAAAGAAATTTTAAAATCAGGTACATCAGCTGATAACTGCACAGGTGTACAGTATACTTTGACCCGTATATGTGTTACGATTTGGTCACTGCTCACACTGATGTGGTGTTGGATAAACCAGGAATGAGGTGACGATAAAAACACAATGCCGACACAAATAAGTGTCACTTTAACTTGCCTTATTCTAAATTAGGACGCCGAGTAGATACAAAAAAAACAAATTAAATTCTCGCTAATAAAATCAGGATTCGTAAGAAACTAAGTTAAAATGAAACCCTGTTGAACATCAACAGAATGTTAATATACATATTAACCATCACATTTATAATTTTATTAGTTACCATTTTCCGAGAAAACTGAGTCGTCAAGCTTCTATCGATGTACAAAATTCGAGTTTATACAGAAAGAACCTCGTTTCTCTGGGCTCGTACATCCACGAAAAGAAGGACAGTAAATTACTCGTGGTGTAACGCACACGTTGAACAATTGGCAGAGTATTGGTAACGGTGTACAAAAGCCAATATTTAGTCGACCTACTATCTTAGTGACAACATGTGTACAACGATTAGCTTCTTTGCTCTTGCTTCTCGTTATTTTGTTACGATTTCAGATTTTAGTAATAGCCAATGGACAGTGAGTGCGTTTTTTCAGGGAGATAGGGATTCAAGGCGTTAGCGGTTATTCAATTACTAGGCAGGAGGTCGACCAAATACAGTGTGAAAAGTAATCACTTATTAATTGGTCTTCAAGCAAATGATTAGTTCAAACGATAAACAAATAAGTTTGTTGGTTGATCAGTAACTAAGACTGTGAGCAGATCAAATCGAAAGAATAAGGGGGGAACACGAGGTGATTATGATCGAGATAGAGGACAGTTAATGATATGTTTTAGTGATAACCGTTGTATAACATTGGATAGTTTTCCAAGAAGAAGATGGTAATCCATGGGTGAGTACATGTTGATCAAGTAAGATGGTGGTTGGAGGTAGTCAACAAAACCCCTGGGCCCAGGTTTCGTGCTACTTGGCACTCGTCAGCAAGACGCACCTGTAATCTTGAGCGAACTGATGCTCCCTGACGAATTTGATCCCGTGTCACCCAGCTTCACAGTCAGAAACATTGCCACCGAGCTGTTCGAGCCGTGACCGACCTCCTGTAGGGCTGAGATATAATCACGGTTGATTGATCACTGGATGATGATCAATGTCATGTGTGTCAAGTCCTTCCTAGTGCAGATCGAATGCTATCAGGTATCCGCCCTAAGCCTTCAACTAAAGGGGCTGTGGTCATTTCGGCTTAGTGACTATTCCAAATAAGGGCAACTCCTAATGACAAAAAGTGGAGCTATACTTTAGTTTTTCCTCTTGGACGTTCAGTTTTTGGACAATCCTCTTGAGAAGCACTGTGATGACGTTCTGTGGATATGCTCGCATTTGGACGGCTTGAAGCACTTAATATGTTGCATATTGTTATCAGACTATCTCACCTCCTCATACTGTACAGAGAGAACAATCCAAAGTGTTGAAGTCTGTCCTCGTAAGATTTACCAATTAGCTATGTCACACACTTGGTAGCTCATCTCTGTACTTGATTTGAGAGATTTATAACTCTGTTGAAGAGCGGAGATACATTGAAATTTCGAACTCCAAAGTGGAGCGGTGCGTACGCTTCAAAGAGTTAGGAACAACACTGGAAATATACATGTCCTGAATCCTCGTATTTAACTATTGACTTAACTCACATTAGTTATAAACAGAATTAAATAAGTCAAATATGAGAATGGTTTTCGAATACGCGTATATCATACAATCGTTAATCCAAACAAGTAATCAGAGAGACGAAGCGAATATAGGAGAGTGAAGTGAAATGAGGCACGGCGGAGAAGGTTTGTAAGGCAACTCATTTAACCAAAGTGTGGATCGATATTTACGGCCAGCGAAAATGAGTTACAGACATGTGATCAGATACGCTCACACAGAGACAGTCAAGGCCAATAAGCGAATAAATGACAAGGTCGAAATGTGGTTTCAGAAGAATGAATAGATTGGTTTGTCCAGGGGCTAGAATAACCTATGTGAACGGCAGAGTGATTGTGAGCAATAATCTATGGTTTATGTTATGCGTGTTCACAAACCGAAATTGTAAAAATCGTAAGAATTGATGAAGAATGCAAATAGCAACAAAGTTAATTATAAGAAGGTCTACTTTAACTTTTCCCCACACACTTGTTGAGGTTACAGCTTCAATGTAGTTTTAGTTGTTGTCCAAACTCGCTATAGTTACTAGCTTAAGGTATTCCTCTGCGGAGAGTTCAGAAGTGGATTTCCATAAACGATGTTCGTCTTCTGCGTCAGACGAGAGAGTGTTCAGAACATGTCATTTCGTCAGTTAAATTTAAACACACTATCAACTACTCTTGTCTGGTTTTTTGAATCTCAGGTGGATCCGCTTAATTTCAAATGAGTCACTAGATCCCCCACTCGTCCGCATAGATTATTGTCGCTTAGCTAGTTTTATCCAACACATTAATGATAAAGATCGAGAACAGAAGTTTACAAAACAACTGTTCCTTTTGAAACTACCGATGTTTAGACCATCAAACACTCATGTACTCTATTGTCCTTGGTACGAAGAATCCTGTTGAACGCGTGGTTTTGGAGTCAAGATAGAAATGAATCAGTGAAACCCATCTTTGCAACCCTACTGTTTGGAAGGCTTATGAGAAGTCTAGAGTTATCACATGAACCGGTATATCTCGGCCACAGCAAGTCATCGTTTTCTAAAACGTTAGATATGACTGTGGTTTTGTTATTACTTCCATTGGTTCATGAGCATGGACATCTTCGACTAGAAGCTGATGATTTGTTAGTAAGTAGTCGGTTTACCATCATAACACATCTCATGGCATCACCTACATGTTCAGTCAATCCTGAACTTGTTGTGGCTGTGACAAGTCACTCATCAAAACCTTCTACATGGGTTTTATTCTGGTTGATTTGATTTGGGAGGTGAGTGTGGATGTCTCCATGCAGTTTTATGTCGTCAAATTCAATGCGTAGTAATTGTAAAGTCGGCTGAGTCACCTTATTTATTTCGTTGTTAGTACCTATGGACTTGGCTCAAGTTCTGTCGAGGCATAATGTTACTTACTGTGTTAATAGATGGAATATCGTATTTTTGTTACGAGACGTATTGTTTACTACGGTCAGTGGTTTCACACTTTACTCGATAAAGTTCTTTAAGATCTGGGAAATGCAGTTCAAAATAAAATGATAGAATTTATCAAACGAATATCCCGAAGCACCAGACAAAGAGAGGACGAATAAAACTATTAGAACCTATAAGAAGCTTTAGATGTTTATTTTAAAAACTGCGTATAGTGTATGGAATATATAAACACAAATAACTGGTTACTATATAGTAAATAAGGGTTCATTGAACGTAGTAATCTAGCTCTTAACACTCCACTAGCACCATATATTATTTTAGGAAAGTACAGGTCACAGAAATGGGATATAAATGTCTCCTTATGCATCGCTTCCATGTATATGAGTCAACTGCATAAAAATTTCGTTTGCTGTAAATAGGAGTGTAAATGAGGTTTCTAGTTGAATTGTTACGAATACTAGCGCACCCAGACCAATCATTAGTTTCATCGGAATCTTGGTCAATCTAAAACGTCATTCTCAACTTATAGGGTGAAGTTGACTCGAAGACCATGATCGTTAGCATTGTGGTGGTTCCTAGCAAAAGGAGCTTATACAAGATATATCGATACACTAAGTTAATAATAATATACCAAGAGAGTTAACAGTAAAAACCCCAGGTGTCTGTCTGCGAGTTAAACCAAGGATAACAAAATACAGTTAACATACAAATGGTATAGTAAACAAACAGATAATAACAGTCATTATGGAATGAATGTTACTTGTAAGCTTCCTCGTGAGACAACAATCACAAATTGAGTTCACTTGATAGATGGAGATTCTTCTGCGAGTGATTGCACTAACGGCGTAATGAGAAAGACAGAGTCCAATAGTATTATATAATAATAATCCGTGCCAAAAGTTCAATGTGGTATCGGAAGGCCTAAAAGGATGTTATAACACTATTATAGTCTTCAATCAAAACTGTGGCCAATAAAGCAGAAGAACAAACGGCGTAGATAGCATTTTATATTTTAACCAACGCGTTAGTAGTAAATCCGTATATTAATCATGAAAATAATTATTATCGTCTTTTAACAAGTGGTACAGAAAAACAACAGATATTGAAAAAAATGTGTTTACATATAAAGTGTGACAAGTTAGAGAGGACATGTGGTTTTTATTCTGTCTTTACAAAAATCACTGAATATACGTCACCATAGCATGATGCTTTAACAAGAGAGATCTGATGACTGATGTCTTTCTCATTACAATATCCTCATCAAAATTGCATCCAAATGCACTTACACGATAATCCAATCACACAATCTACCGGTGTTTAAATTTGTAAGAATAACTTTTACAACAGCTTTACTAACATGATTGTTCTAGGATTGGGAAACAACGTTTTTTAATACAAAAACTTCAATTGAACATAATTGCATACTAATTTCGAGTTTATATACAAACCAAATAGACCTCATCGTTCTATAAAAAAGGAAATGATAACATTTGTATAAGATCTAGCCAAAAGTGACTGTGAATGTGGGAGTCTGTAATTAAAAGAGTGCGTATTACTCAAAAACGGTAAGTCGTATAATAACAGTCCATGGGTCAAAATAAAGCTTGTAATAAGAGCAACATGAATATGAATAGCTTAGTTACTTAACAACTATACAATAAAAGTATATGTATCGTTCACAAATGACTCTCAAAGGTTATCATTCATAATTCTCGTCGGAATATAACACTTTTATCTTATCTTCTTTTCTTTTTGTTACTGATTTCAAATGAAGACCAATTTATGGACTGTTCAAATTCAGAATACAAGAAAGATTATGTAGAACGATGAGAGTATTGTGAGGGTTACGACTTTTAGAAACTCTTACGTAGAATTTGTAGTGACCTACTTTTACTAAGAGAATGCGATTGATTTAATGGAAACAATCATTATTATAACCAATCGTACCAGTGATTGTTTTACTGCCCAGACAACCAAAAAAAGGGAAATAAAGGCGAACAAAGATGAAATGAAGGGGTTAATGCTTTGGTAGCGAAAGGGGAAATAAAGGGGAAAACGCGCCAGAATGTCGCCTTTTTCGCCTGTCCGGGGGAAATAAGGCGGATTTCCCCCTTTTACCCGCTTTGTCGATAAATAACCGACTTTTCGCCTAAATATCCCCTGAATTGTCGAATGTTTGCTTAAATATCCGCGGAGTTGCCTACTTTTTGCTTAAATATCCGCTGAATTGTCGAATTTTCACCTAAATATCCGCGTAATTGTCGAGTTTTCGCCTAAATACACACAGAACTGTTTATTTCCGATCCATTGTCATAAACCCAAAGGTCCCCTATGCACACCTTTTGTTTCAACAACAGACCAAAAATAAAGTGAAATGCACTGGAAAACCGGTATACTTTTAAAAATTTTATTTAAAAGGAAAAGCTTATTATTGTACAACATTATAGCTGAAGCTTCAGCATAGATTGTTTTACATTTCCATTGTAACTGCTGATTTATTGATATTTGACAATATCTGCAAAAGAAAGAACAGGTGATGTATTATTTATAAGCAGTGTGCATTTAATCACTAGTTCACTAACAATCAAACACATTTTCTCAACACTTCAATAGCTTCCCATGCAAGTAAAAAGGTAAGCTGTTCCACCGGAAAATGCTTATTATAAATTCTGTATAACAAAAAGAAATTGAACAGACGTTTGCCTTCAGACACGTATGTTCGGCTATTGAGAATTAAAACAGTGTTCCTGTGAATTCTGAAATGTCCAGAAAAAAAACAAGTCACAAGGACATCTGAATGACAGGCTTTGGCACAGCAAAATACTTTAAGCGAAACTTACGGTTATGTTCGTTAACAGTGATGACTGTAACTATAGAGCCGTAATGTAAGTTATCACTTAAAATTAGTACATACCTGCTCTTCTTTCCTTCTTTTACGTTTTATCACTTGTCTCTGACACCGTGAAAATAACCTTGTGTGGCTATGTTGTACAGCTTCGCTAGGTCTTTTTCGTTCACAGAGGATGATAGAAAACGATTTGTTAACGCACCTGAAGTTTAAATACTAAATATGAGTTACTTCGTATACAGCCGTAAAACCGGCATTTTGAAGAGGTGCCAAGTAACATGAATTTTCTGGCAACCTCAGGTGTCAAAAGGTGCGACAGAACATACCGCATAGATGTTTTCGGATCGTCACTCGATAGCCTCGTAACCATCGCCATCTGTATTAGAAACAAATCATTACATTATTGTTGATGACGTAGAAGTCGGTCTCTGGTTTCTTGATGCTACAAACCAGTGTCCAGCATTTGCAGTTCCTCTTCAGATGACAAACGGAACTGCTGACTCAATATTCCGCAATCGAATTGATACGGTTGTTCTCGTTCATTGGACTAACATAGCAATTGCTTGACGTTAATACTTAAGTCCGTAATGGCTGTTGACATTTTCTGCAGCATTTTACTGAAGTCAGTCATAGATGACGAAATGTTCTGCACCATTGTATACAACCTATTGGACCTGAAAAAGTGCACTTGATGAAGCAAGTGACTTACTGGTCCGCTGTAGCACCACCGACACGCTTAGATTCCGATGTTGACGGTGATGTCTCTGCGTCGAGCTAATTCGTGAACATGTAAATAGTAATGAAACTTACTTTGCAATCGGCGAGACGAATTGGTCAAACAACCGGAATTTCGGATACTGAATATGACTATTTCCAGCCTGCATTTCGGCAACATCCATGTCCACTGAATTGTAAAGAAATTCTTCTTTACGCTTCATTGCAGCTCTACGAGATGCAAGTAAGATTATTGTACAGACCTCTTGAGCTTCTCAGTGTTCTGTGTTAAAGTGTGTTCATCCGTTGAAGTGTTTTTACGGTGAGATTCCAGTATTTGTAGAGAAAGTAACAGATCTTTGGCAGACTGCAGAGAATCTATAGTGAATTTTACTTCTATGAATGTAACTTACCTAATTCGTGAATAACTTTACATTTAATAAGTGACCAATTATCATTCGGTTGGTTGCACTTCTGCAGGTGTATATCAACAAGTTCGTTCGGAAAAAGGCAAAGTTCGTTGCCTACTATCCACTCCTTGGATGCTATCATCAGCTGTTTTTTGCTGAGGACGTCAACAATGACGTACTTCTTGTTAGCGGGCTGAAATAACATAAGACGTAATTAAATGATTTATCGTCATTAATTAAAGACTAATTAAAAAAGATGCATTTACAATAAAGTATACAACAATGGATTATAACTACATAATTGATACAATTGATGGCTATACATTTACAATCAATGTCCTTAAGCGATATCCATGCGTGTTCATGGCTAACTACGGAGCACATAAAGATTCCTATGTCACTAGAGGGGAAAGGATCTTCAAAGTAATTGCGTGGGTCAGTGGAAGTCCTAAATTTTAGTAGTCCATCCTCCTTTATATCAGTGGTTAAACCTGGTTGGCCGTTTACTACTACTACTACATTATCAGGCTTAAATGAAGTTATTTTACTATTCTTAAACATAACTACTTGTTTACTGGAGACATGATTAGCGCCTATTTGGGTATTTGGTAAACCAGTAATTTGAAGCCTATCGCAGAAGGACAATTTTTCAGCATAACGCTGAGCTGCTTGATTCGCTACTGCAAACCCACTATGCACGGAATCCTTAATTTGTCTCATATAAGACTCGAATGGAAAGGCTGAAAAGCTATCTAAAGGTCCATGTGCACGAACGTCGTCAGAGAGGTGCTGTAACGAATGCACATTGTAAACTAAGTTTCCAGACCCATAACACCATTCGTATTCCTTCAGGAAGTTTAGTAAATCTATTCTGGCGGTTTCTACAACAGTATTATGTAATTTGGGATGTGCAAGCAGATACATGGATGACGCTAAACTCCGGAAATTAAGATAAAAAGGATGTGGCAATGTTTTTTCAAGAATCGCCGGGCCTAAGTACAGAAGAAACAACCTACATTCAGAAGCTTTCCATGCCGATACAAAGTCTAGTGTACGGCATTTACGGGGGTAGTCAGAAGGAGTGCTTGCCACGCAACCTGATATTAAATTATTTATGTCCCTAACTGCACATGAGTTAAAGTTCCGCAGTCTTTGGCGTGCTAAATCTATCCATAAATTAACTACTTTTTTGTAACACCAAGGTACACCATGTGCATAGGATCTAAAGGAAAAGTTATAATCATATTAATAGAAAGCGTTTCCATTATAAAATGTCCTTGTTGGTGAATAGATTGAGTCTGACGACGGAAGGTGTCGTCTGTTCTTAAATTATATACCCCATTTGGAGAGGTCGTCTTACCCTCCACCCGTCCCCCAAGTACAATACACCTATCGCAACCTGCCTTACCGTTATGATTCAGTGGCCCTACGTCTACGAACATTCTCACTGATTTCAATAGAACTCATAGTATTGGCCTAACAAGGTAATCAGTTACAATGAACATGAAAATCTGAGAGCACGTCACTCACGTCACTCACGGTGCCTTAATTCGTCGAAGTTTATGAAAAATTAAGCTCCAGAGGCGGTTTATTCGAATACTGTACGTTACGTATATTTGTCGACAAATTTCCCCAAAATGCACGACGTAAGGGGCAAAAAGCGACATTTCCCCTAAATAACTGACGTAAAGGCGAAAAAGTGACATTTCCCCTTTATTTAGCTTTCGTCCGCTTTATTTCCCCTTTCTTCGCCTTTATTTCTCCTTTTTGGGTTGCTTGGGTGTGCTCGTTTGTTTACCTGTGCTAAACACAGATATATTACTGCTCCATTATCCTTCCATTGACTGTGACCTTGCACGGGTTCATTTTACGCTCGGTAACCACGCTTGTACTCCTTTGGCACGATCTCGGTATCCTTTCGATACTACGAGATCGCCAACAAATACTACAATACTACAATACTTCAGCCATCAACTGCCTTCTGATATTTGGCTTATAGGGGATTTTATCAGTTAACTGGCACGTAGTCTTCTTGTGGTGGTGTTCATAGCCAATCGCGACAAGACTCCACGCTACAAATTATTGCTTATAGTTAAGAGATAATTACATTATTACATACTTATATTTTCTTATTTGTAAGCTTTCATATACCTCATTAACCATTGTCGGATGTTTTCTTTCTCTTTTGTTCTTCAAGCTATTGTTAATTAAATGAAAATATATTATTCAATTCTTCTTCAATTATTCAGTAGTTATATGCACATAGTAATATTTTGTGTTGCTGGTTTTACTCTATATTATCATTATTATAAATTTGAGTCATAATAATAGCTGAACAACAGAGATTTAATCTTGTCATGTTTTCTCAACTGATTGAACACTAAAATAAAGATAAAGCTGCATTGACGACTAATAGAAATGAAGATGATCTTTGCCTCATCTTAAGATATTCTTTATAAGTTAAAAAATGCCATTTGTCGAAGAATAGGACATTTGTTTTTACACGAAATGAGCATACTCGAGGATTATAAACTGGCTTCAAATTTGTGAATCTTATCCAGTGATATTGATTATGTATATTCATAGCGGTTATAATAACGAAACTATGGACATGAACTCAAGTCTTTATATATATATATACCCTTTGAACAAACACATAACATTTATCTGCAAAAAACATTAAAAAAATAAACAGAATATTGTTTATTCTACTGAATTGTTGTTAAAATTACTATAAAAATACATCCGATCCTTGAAATTGTAGAGAAGATTTACAGCTCAAGTGTATATTTTTTGTGGCATTGTGTTCTCTGAGCCAAACAGTTTGATTGTTGATTTTTCATTGTCTTAATGGACAATACAGCTAGTGCTTATTTCACATAGTGAATTTGTTCCTTTAACCTCGTGTGTAAATGTTAGTCATAGTAGGTTATGTTGCTTTCATTTGTATTACATTCATATTAACAATCTACTCTAGTCGTGTAATCGGTCGACTTCAGTATATTTTGATAACATGGATCCACGTCTATGTGTTTACTGATTATCAATTGATTTGAATGCCACTCTTGCAAAGATTCTTAAAGTTTCCTCATAAAAGAATTTTGATATGTTTTCAATTCAATTAAAGACAATAAAACTTACGAAGACTATCACTTACAAACAAATACACATGAACAAATTGATATAACATATATTTCATAACTGAAGAACTGACTTTTATACTGAGTAGACACTAATGAATTTGTTCCGAATAACAATAAAAATGTTATAATTAGATAATCTAGTTCATAGGACACACCTTCATGAAAATATATTTGACAATCTATATGAACACGTAAGTAATATGATGCAGTGAAATTAACAGAATGTAATTAAGGTGATTAACTACAATAAATTGTATTTAGTGGTAAATTAATCCCCAAAAGAAGTCGGTTTGTAAGTTTTCGACTTTGATACTAACCTGATTAGTTATATTGAGTGCACCTCTAGCTAAAGGAGGCGAAATCCGACTCACACGTCCGCATCGTGCCTCTTGGATAGTGGGACGAATGAACCATGAACTAACGTGAGGGATAATCCTGGTGGTGGAGGTCGGGCTAATCACCTACTCTTACCGATACCCACCGATCGATTAAGGAACCCACAGAGAAACATAGCACAATTATATTTGGAATGGAAAACGACAAAAAATTTTCTTTCGAAAGTGGAGCATGTATCATATGGAGTTGCTCGTCATTGGGCAAACTCCAAAGGATTGCAGAACCAACTATTCTAGCCCCGAGAGTTGTGCCGTGCTTCGATGTGGGCTGTTTCTATCCAGAACGGCCTAATATTCTTCACCAACTTGTTGGCTGGAAGGGGGGGCACCTCTAGCTAAAGGTGTCCGGTCAATTATACACACCACATCACACTCATATACGTCGTTCTGCATGTCTTTTATAGCAGTTGGGTAGCTAAAATTGCATACATTTAGACACATTGATCAGTACCCGAATATGTCTTTGCATTTCTTCATTTTTATACCTCTGGTCTGATTGGGCTTGGGATGCTTGTATAAAAAGAAGTTTCATACAGTAGCGTCAATAAAGATTACATATTCGTGACACCATACTAAACAAACAACCGGGAACTTATGAAAGATCTCTCATCATACTACGTGAAATTCTAAAACTAATGTAGTTTCAATAAAAATTGACCACACAATTTAGGATACACTGAAAGTGATTTAATCAAGTTAAAGTTTTGTTTCATTTCACCAACTTGAAAGTTAAACAGATATAGCTAAATATAAGTCCAATCATTTTGTCACAGATGATTTTTATCAATGCTTGGGTTTAATTACTTAACTATGAGGCATCACAGATCAGTGGAAAGTTATCTCATACTAATCTAGAACTTCATAGTAGTGTACTCACATGATAATATCTAGGGATCGAATTTGGATTGTGGGGTATCCTGTATTAGTATGGAATAACTATCTACTACATCACAGCCATAAATAGTTTTCTAGTTAATGTCAGTTTGTGGTGTATGTTGCTTATATTGACAGATATAATTAATATGTAACACCATTCGGAAGTGAAGTCTGACAGCAGAAAACTGAAATAAAGAGAACAAGAAGAAGAAAAACAGAAAGCAATCGGAATAGAAACAGAATAAGAAGGATCATGATGTATATAAAGACAATTGACAAAGGTTGTGCGATTAATGTATTTAATGTATGCTTTTCATTTTTACTAAAGCATCTTGTAATTTAGTTCCAATAATAAGTTGGTTTACCCCACCAAGTCTTCGTTCACTACAATATATCTTCTAGACGAGTCCCTTTCTCTGATATATCAGGATTGTTTGAACTATCGCACTCATTTCATCAACACGTCTACTATTCAATCGTGAATTTCAGAAGTCTGTGCTTACATACCTGAAATGAATTGAATTCAACTTTTCAAGGAATTGTGATTAGTTGAATATTGAAACTTTGAGCAAACATTTCTCGTTTACTAAATTAGTTTATTACCTTGAAGAAGGAGTTCATCATCTTAGAGATACAGATGGGTTTTTAATTACATAAGTTCATGAAAATCTTGTACAATTTAATGATGATTTCAATGGTAAACTGATATCAGTTGGTATATAATCATCAGATTATATGAGACATTATGTAACTACTTCTTTCTCGTTTGTGAATCTTCATTTGAAATAATGGATATGATTTATCTTGATAATCCAACACTAAGATATTTCAGGAGTGAAATAGTTGTCACCAATGGCATTCGGTATTCATCTCGCTACATCAAAAAGTAATTGAAGCTGAAATTGTTCTATTGGCCGACCACTTAATGAATATAATAGTTAAACGTTTATCAAAAGACCTGCATGTTTCGGAGAAAACCCGTTGTGGGGTCTTAAGGTTACACTACCAATGAGTTTCATAATAGAATGAAACAAATAGATGTTCAGTGCTTCTCGGTTTACAGTGTTACCTCAAATGTGGTCAATCTGTAATGAAAATAATCTGCAATCGAATCAAATCTTTACAAATTCCCTTTAACTAAACTAAAATTAAACAGAAAGGCTTTTTTGTGGATATTATAGTAATTTCAGTAGTTGAGATTATGAGTTAATTGAAGCTAGAGCACCATGGAAAACCTGGAAGCACTGGATGGGTGTTTCGTTCTATTGTGGGATGGTGGGTGCGCACTACTGAGGAGTCCAACAATAGTACGAAACCCTTTTCTGATATTATTCAGCATATGCTCACTAGCGACTGGCTTCAAGAGGTATTTCCTGGAGTTCTAGTGAGGAGCAATGACCAGTGAGACTAAACACATGGGACTCAAACCCAGGACCTTTAGTTTCGCGTATAAACGCTCAACCTCTAGACCACTGAGCCGGCATCCAATGGTATTAATGTCTAACTTCAACCAATCCACGAAAGTGAGCGACACACCCATCATTGTCATCAATGAGTTACCATCTCACAACAGACCAGGTTGAACTCCACTGGTCACTACTTCTTACTAAAACTCCAGGAAATACCTCTTGAAGCCAGTCACTAGTGAGCATATGCTGATTAGTATCAGAAAGAGGATTTTGTAGATATTATTGTAATTTCAATGGTCCAGATCATGGTTTAGAGGTTAAGCGCTCGCTTCTGTGAAAAGACGACACAATATAATTTGTTTATTCAATGTATACAAATCAAGTTCACTTTTATTCAGCCTAGTTACCAACCAGGTATTTTCGAAAAAATGTTTTACAACAATAAAGCCTTTTTAATGTCATTGAAATAGATTTGAATGAAGTTTTGGTTTTAAGTTTGGTATTAGAAGTGAATGTTCAAAAAGAAATCGAATTGAATTCGATTGGATGAACTGCTGAAAAATCATTCTCTTTTTGTATATCTTGTACTGTGCTGAATGAAAATATAAGTATGGTTAACCGACTTGTCATGTTACATAAAATCACATAGTGCCTTTAAAAAGATATTAAAAAATTATACATTGAATACATTATTTGCAACATTCTCCTTCAGTTATCCTTTACATATTGCATTGTTCTTCCAAATCTGTTGTTATTTCGATTAGTCTCCGTTATATACGAGCGAAGATCGAATCACGATTAACTTCTGAGACATATTAATTGACTACTATTATCTATATGTTCTTATGGTATAACTATTCAATAATTAAATTATGTATATTTATATTCCCTTTATTATAAGCTTCATTTTGATTTATAATTTATTATTGTTCGATTTACGGTTCTTAAGCTATGTTCACTTTATTGACTACTGCCTCCCACGTTCACAGCCACGTTTTGGCTTTATTGTGTACAAATGTTATTTCCTATTTTATGGTGCGTTGCGGTCCGTTTGTTTGATATATAAACCCAGTATGTCTGAAATAAATGATTCAACTCGGTTCGCATAGTAGAAGCTGGTATTGTTGTTCTGGACTCAAGTGGACGAGCTTGGAGGATATAGGATCAATAAGGACGCTAGGCTGCTCATAACGGTCGAACGTCATTGGTTTTGTCACAGTGCTAAGATTTTATAAATCATATTTTGATTGGTGGATAAATCACGTGATAAAAAGCCGGACATAAAGTCACAACAGTCTCTGTTTTCTTTCCTCTTCTCTTTATTTTAATATTCTTCTGGTAAACATTTCACTTCTGATAATGATGTGTTAAAACAAACAAGCAAAAGATATCCAAGTGGCAGGAACAGGTATACCAGATATTCGAATAGGTGGCTTGGTAACTAATTAATTCCAAATAATATTTTTCTAATTGTATTCGTTGACTTGACCTATTTGCAATATACATGCTTGACTAATAATATGGTGTGTGTTACTGTTGTCGATAGATATAAGTAGTATGTGTCATCAATCGAAAATGAAATGCCGAGACGACAGACAGTTAAGAAGATCGAAGAGAAAAGAACGAAAACAAAGAATGATTGATGTCGAAATGAAGGAACAATAAAGTCTGAGACGATTGACTGACATTTTGCAAATGAAGTATTTACTGTATGGTTCTCAGCTTCTACTAAGGTGTTCTGTAATGTTGTATTCATATATA